CACAGCGACCTCGCTGTAAAGAAGGTTTTCAATTCTTTCCAATATACGGGCCCCTGCCTTCCTATGAAGCAGTTGTACCATGAAACACTAATAATAACAGGCGTACAATAGGCGTAGAAAGCAAAACCGGGTGGTTTCGTTAAATCAGCGGAGTGAAAGGAATTCTCAAGTTGGATGGGTGCCCGACTGCAGGAAGATTATAATAACCATTTATCTATAGATACAAATGTCGCGGAGAACCTAACGGGTAACCGGGGCTCGGGATCGACGTGCAGGAGAAGGAACGGGGTGGTTTTTAGTCAGTAAGAGTCTGACACTCCCTCCCGCCTCACCCAGGCGGAAGCAGCCATTCGATGATTTTCCCTCCTTAAAAAAAAGATACTACAAATACAATATAATAGTGACAGTGAGACTTTATGTTGCCTGGAGTTGCGGCTAACTTAACGGGTTACCGAGGCTCTGGCCCGATGCAGGAGTAGGTACGGGATGGTTTATAGTCAGTAAGAGTCTGACACTCCCTCTCGGCCACAGATATAAATAGACCCTCTCGTCTCACCCAAGGCGGGAAGTCATTGGATGATTTTCCCCTCTCAAAAAAGGGATTTGTGTTAACTTGACTGAAAAGTTTGTGCAAATTAATAATGGTACAGAATTGCAGACTAATCATAAACAAATATTTAGGTACAGACGCAGTCTTTTTCTTTTGCTACTCTCATGAGACTTTAAAAACCTCATCAGTATCAATAGTTCGTGTCAGACCACTGCTGGACTTGGATTTGAGCCTTGTATTTATTTACAAAATGAAAGCACATTAAGTTGCCCAATCGGTCAAAATATTTAACTGATTTAAAATCTTATTGTTTGCAAAATAATGCTAATATTTCAAAACTCAAGTCTGGGCTAGACTTAGACATCTACTTACTCGTCTCTGCAACGAATGCAGGTGTAAAATATTTCTGTACCTAATATTTTTAATTTTATTGCCAACACTCATACGACTACTTATATATACGTCTTTTGATCTTTATTTTGTCATAGGCCATTGTTGAAGTATTACTTGATTTACAGACATATTTCAAGGTTTTATTTTTTCGATTTTCAGTTGTAGTCTGTTTAAGGTTTCATACTGACCTCAAAAACCACATTTCTTAACGACTCTAAACTATTTTCTGTATTTTCTGTAGTAGTTCTGTAGTCGCACAAGATTTATAATTCAACATTTATGTATTTTTATCCGTTTTATTATTTTATAACTAGTTATGTATCCTAATTCAAAAACTCACAATTACTCCAGAACCGTGCGCTATACACGAACGATGAGCAAGGATAAATTGAAAAGACAACAAAATTAAAACTCGAGAGAAGAGCTGCATGTATAAATCATCGAACTAATCTCCTAAATCGCAAACGATTGCCACAATCCCACGTATAAACAAGGCAAATAGATCAAACACTAACAAACTTAGCTGGGGGATATAAAACCAGTATTATACGGATTTATACGCGGCTAACTATCACACACTGGCATAATACGGCCCGGCCGGCCCGGCCACTCTAATGGCCTTCCATTACGATGCTTGCCACCTGTGCTAATGGGTCAGAAATATTTAATTGATGAGAGCTGTACAGATTTCCCGATTCACATTTTTCATCAATTCCGTAGTGTTTCGTGTCCGCTTTGTGGGCAGCCTCATTACTGTTGAATATATTTTGCTCTTTCTACAAGAGATGTTTAAAGCGAATTGCTTTCATTTCTCATCTGCCTTGTTATGCTTGCGTTGGCTAATTAGATAGCGTTTGTTATGTTTTAGATGTGAGTGAGTGGGTACTCGGTGTTATCTTTATATAAATTGCGGTAGTGCCTGTCGTTTGGAACCGTTTAAACTTCAGTGCTTTCTTTTGAATTTCTATACGTGTTCCAGGTCGCGGAGAACCTAACGGGTTACCGGGGCTCCGGCTCGAAGTTCAGGAGAAGGAACGGGATGGCTTTTAGTCAGTAAAATTCTGACATTCCCTCGCGCCTTACCCAGGCGGGAGAAGCCCTTCGATGATTTTCCACCCTTAAAAAAAAAATACGTGTTCCAGACTTCAGAGCTAATGTTTGTTTGTGACTGAAGGGTCAGGGTTGGTGCTGTTGGTAGAACATCCGCTGCTGCGTATCGTATCGTGATGGTTTCAATTTCTGCGCCCCTTCTATATTCTGACTAAATACTTAAATACTTACCTATATAATAAACTTTTCAAAGTCCACTGTCAACCCAAAGTTGTAGATAAGACCAACAATACCATCGAAATTGAATGAGAGACAATAAAAAATAATTGAGTTTATTAGGGTAGGTGTTTCATTATTGGATAAATATAAACCAAACTGAAATGTAATAAATAGGTACCAATCAAAATTATATAATCGCTAATTACGCGTATCTAATAACTGTAACTGAAACTTTATCCTCGAAACATTTCATTAAAATTAAAGCTAATTGTTAAATTGTTCACATGCAATAAAACCAATGTGTGTACTTACCTAACAGGATTGCGGTCGGATATCAAATCCAGTATTTACGAAAACAATGAGCTAAAACAAATTCTCACTGGCAATGTGTTTGTATTATCTGCATTTGAAATCAGAATCTGTAGATGTATCCGAACGCATTCATTTGCTCAACGAACAATATTGTGTTTAACGTTCGATTCTAGCTCAAACATTGCAATATGTAGGTATAGGTGGCGTCAAATTATGCAACCCTCGTAATACCATTATTGAATTTTCGGACATTTTGATTGAAGGAATATTTTAAGCATTTACCATAATGGCGCATGGTACCTAATGCCTACCATCAGAAAGCAGATAAGGAACTTAAGTCCGAAAATGATACCTGAGTGTAGAACCAGGTTAGTACCCAGTTGTTTGACTATTAAGACTTACCGCCTTAATTTAAAAACAAACTAGCTTCTGACAGCTGCTTCGCACGCGTTCCCAAAGGATAAAAAGCCTATGTGTTATTTCAGACCATAATCTCACCTGTTCCAAATTTCATCCCAGTCCTTTCAGCCGTTTTGATGTGAAGGAGAAACAAACAAACAAAAAAACACTTTCGCATTTATAATATTAGTAGAATTCAAAAAGTCAAATAACAAAAAGCGTTCTATTGTCACGGATTTCGCGTACCTATTATTAGCGGTTAATTATCATCGACCGAGACGCCATTGCCACAATAATTGTGGTGTGTTCCCGCATTGTATTTGTGCAGTGGCGGGAAATCATTGGCGGCCATTGCGCCTTAATTGTGCAGAAGTATTTAATGACCTCTGTTTCTGATACAATTAATGGACAACGATGTAGGATGGACCATTTTTTGTCTATTATTTAGCAGATTAGGTAGTAGATATCAATAGATTAATGATTAGGTAGATAGACCAAAGTAAAAGTAAAATGCCTCACTCAATTTGCTAATTCGCTGACTACGATCATCATCGACATCAGTAACGCTAGACTACGATAGCGACAAAATGTATGGAAAATCTGCGAGGACCCCAGAAGAACATTCCTACATAAAAATGAAATGAATATGAAAACTTACTGAAGGAAAATACAAAAATGAAGCGGAGTACAGAGGAAACAGGTAGTTGGTACCTCCTTAAATGTGGGGCCTAGTAAGGCTAGCCGACACGAGTGCGATGACTACGGTAGAATGTATTTTCCGCACCCAAAGGTATTCGAGGGAAACACATTCGTTGGATACGAGTACCCACGTGTTAAACGGAACACCTGGGTAGTTTTTAGTCAGGAAGAGTCTGATAACCCCTTCAGCATTCGAAGGGGTTAACATGAGGATTTCCAGGGTCAAAAAAGGGACCCGGCAACACGTTAAGGTGAAGGACTTAACGTGTTGCCGGGGCTCCAGCTCGAAGTGCAGGAGTAGGAACGGGGTGGTTTTTATTCAGTGAGAGTCCGACACTCTCTCTCGCCTTATCCGGGCGAGAGGAGTCATTGAATAATTCTCCCCATTCAAAATAAAAATTTAAACGAGAAGGTGGGTTAGCTTCTGCCCACTGGTAAGTATTACTAGTTTAATTAAATATGCATTAATACAATATGCATTTTAAATAGATTCAATGCTGTTACCCGCTAAATCGGTAGGTACCTAGTCGTTTGAATTTATATGAATACCTAATTCCAATGAGCCGTGCACTAGACTATGCTTCATTGCTCCCTAAAGCTCCATTTTGTGCATTATTCTAGCGAACAACCGAAATAACTTCTTCAGGATAAACTAAAGAGGATTAATTAACACCAAAGTACTTCTAAATGGGTAAGCTCTAAATGGGTTTAATCGGTACTTATTTTGCTGTTATAATATTGCAATCGAATTTTTAAAATGATAGGTACCAACAATAAAAATCTAATTCTAGTTTTAAAAAATAACCATAACTACCAGTTGGTACTTAAAGCATAAACATATTGTTACAACCGAATTACTTACCGAGTAAGTTCTACCAACCATGTTATCAAGTTCCGCTAAAAATATATAACTCCTCTGGTGATCTAGGTGTTCATGGCTGGCACTGATCTTTACAATCTACTCATTTGCTGCCTTAAACATTCAACGTCAGTTTTTTCTAAACTTAGTTAATCAGCTGTTTGATATAGAAAATGGTTAAGACTAAAATAATTACTATTTTTTATTTCTCATATTTTCACATCCTTGCTCAATCCTCTCTTATTCTTCCTCTGTTGTTCACAAAACGTTACTTAGACAATTATTACTAACCGACCGTTTCAAATTACGCGCATATTTTACCGTCCGTAAATTTTACAGAAAACAGTAGTAAGTAATAAAAAACCGCAGTAATTTTATAAATTATCGGAAATTAATTATTGTCTGTATTTCATTATAGACAACAACTTCATTCCATCTTGTCTTTATTAATAATATTTCTAAACGTTTATGACTAATCGATCGATTCCGTTCTATTGGCAGCTGTCATTTGTGGTGAAATGTCAAAGTGTCAAACTCACTAACCAACTGAGCGGTGACTACTTTATTTACGTGAATGAGATTTTTCGTTTTAATTTCCTTTTACAGTTTGATTTATAGTGTTAATTTGTGAATTGTATATTTTTGTGGTGTAATTATAGAGTAAGGTAATCGTAAGAAAAATATAACAATGTCTCATCAAACGGGAATTCAAGGTAGGTGTGATACATTACAGTTATCTTTCGTCCAAAATAAACCACGTACTTAGCTAATAACAGCGATAAAAACATCTATTCGTATACCAATACAGTTATTACGAATGTTATGAAATATATTTTTAGAAATTACTGTTATTCTTGGCTTGCGAACAAATCACCCACGCCGAAATTCTAAATTAATTTTAATAAGGAAGTACTAATACCTACACAGCATTCATAATATCCGGAACATGGAACCCGTTATTGTTATGAAACAACAATAGGAAAACAATTGCTATAGTTTGAATTCCTAGGTAAAAGAACTCCATGGATTGTTATAGATGTATGAATAGTACCTTAAGTTTGTCATTGTCTTAAGTCTACAAGACCTATCTATGAAAGTAATATTAAATTCATTATTGCAGAACAGTCTGCATTTGCCACATAAGCCATAATACATAGCTCTAAAAATTGCATAGTCATCATAGATGAAGCTGAGTCAACTCTTTGAAAACATCCATCCAAGTAATTTAATGTGTTTAAAAATATCTAATTCTAGCTAATCTCGCACTGCTCCACATTCCGCTTGGCTCCTATTGGTCATAGTGTGATGTTTTTTAGCCTATAACCTTCCTCGATAAATGGACAATCATCACAAAAATAATTATTCAAATCTGACCAGTCATTCCGAAGATTAGCCCATTCAAACAAACTATTCAGCTATATAATTATAAGATTATAATGTTAGATGGTTGTCTTCATAATTTAAAAACATCTCAAACTCTATTTTATGTAATAAAAAGTCCAACTAAGCTAGCCCATTACACAGGAGACATCATAGTCCACAAGTGTGTGTGCAAACACAAATTTACTCTATCTTCCCTCACTCCCAAAACCTGGTGTGACAGCAGACTGACAGGACTAGAGATAGGTCTGTGCGGCTTCGGCGCAAAAGCATTGGGTTTGCCTATTTTCTGAGACACAGAGGTGGAAACACCTCTCTGAATCTGAGCTAATAACAGTCATTCACGCTGCAAATGTCATTGTCAAATTTTGCCCACTGTGGAAATTTAACCCGTGATATGTTACACAGCAGTTGGTCTCCCAGTCAATACTTCAACCATGCAGTTTATCTAATAGTGCATCATTGATTGCATAGATACTACTTTATACAAGATACTCGAGTAGTTATTTCTCCTACTCTTGAGTTGTAGTATGTCATTCAAGGACATAAATCTTGATGTAACATGATAGATACTGCAATAGTATTATTATAATTGTTGCAGAAGTTGGTCATACAGTGATAATAATTATTTAATCTTATATCATGTTAATTTCAGCCAATGCGGAGTTAAAGAAATATTTTGGAAAATGCAGAGATGGAAAGATTCGAGTTATGAAAATTAGCATAGAAAATGGTAAATAACAAGTATAATTTTATTATTATTATTATTTTTCTAACCCTTTAATTGACATGGTAAACTCAAGTGACATTAAATTCAAATTTTTATTCTGTCTAACGTTAGTTGTTTTTAATTCAATTGTCTGTTTACCCTTAACATTATTTAAACTGTTTTTATTGTAATGTAAAGAATAGGGAATAACGAATTAAAATGAATAAAAAAGAAAATTATTTAGTGTCATAAAATCAAAAGTCTGGCCTGTCTGTCTAGAAATAACACTGCAAAATAATTAACAACTTCATTTAAGTAAAATTATATATCTATAATTCCAGAACAGCTGGTTTTGTCCAAGTACTATCCAGTAAAGCACTCGTGGGAGCAAGACTTTGACAAATATGTACCTTCGTTAATTGTTGAAGACTTGCCGTGTTACATATTGTATAGGTGAGTAACACTATTAATTTTTTAGTTAGATATTTCTGTTTATAGTACTTTACAATAAATTAGATATACAATTTAGTTAGTGTAAAAATAATCAATAAATAAGCTTATCAAACTTAATTTGTACACTTTAACTTTTAAACTATGGCTAAACTCTTTCTTAAGACCTTAACTTATTAATACATAGATTATAACTAAGTATTAAACCTTTTTTCCAGGTTTGACTCAACCAACTCGGTGGGACATGAATGGTTACTGCTGAGCTGGTCCCCAGACAGTGCTCCAGTCAGACACAAGATGTTGTACGCCTCCACGAAAGCAACTCTCAAGCAGGAATTCGGATCAGCACATATTAAAGATGAAATGCATGCTACTGTGAAGGTATGACCTTTCATCTAGTTTTAAACTAACTTGTGGTAGATGAGAGATAGAATTTTTATATATTTTGTATGAATACTTGGTGTGTTCATTCAAAATTTATCAAAATACACATGTTTATTCTGATTTTTCTTATTAACTCTTTACTTTTCATACATATTTCGCGTACATGATGCAGAAACTAGTATAAACTACTCTAGCAAAAAATAATATTGAAAATCTGTTATAGAAACTCGTCAGATTGAAGTATGTTTAATGTGTTCAAGTGTGGTATTCGCTTATTGTCATTGGTAGCACAGGAATCTGAATGACCATTTTATCTTATCTGTGAATTATAATAACAATGGAAATGTAAACAAATACATTTCTTGAAACCATTATCAATATTGGATTTAAAACCATGAGTAATACAGAGATAATAAACAAAATACTAAATTGAATATTCTGTGTTAGCTGTTTGGTTTTGATTTCAAACTTGCACCAACCATTTGTTCATCTTCCATGCCTTTAATGTGACAAGTGAGTCCACATAAGAACTATAATAAACGTTGTGTTTCGTCGTGTGTGTGAGGTTACCCGAGGCTCAACTCACCTCCACATTCCCCAATCCCTGAATCCCCGACATTACTCAATTTCTAACCCCCCAATAGAGGGGTAACGCACTTGTAACGCCTCTGGTGTTCCAGGTGTCCATGGGCGACCCCGATTGCTTATCATCAGGTGATCCGTGTGCTCGTTGACCGGCTTATCCCATAAAAATAATAATAATCACGTTAGGGCACCATTAGTGGTTTGGGGAGTTAGTGAGGCCATCGAAAAGTTCCAATTAACTAATCGACATTTTAAGATCATAAGTAAATGTTAAGGTCAAAATAATCAAATGTACCTATAAAGTTTTATAACATTATGGTTACAGGATGAAGTAAGTTTGAAGGGATACAAGGCTCATTTGACTGGTGTGAGTGCGCCAGCCCCGTTGACCGACAGGGAGGAGGCGTTGAAGGAACTCCAGGAGAATGAACACACACCACAATATGGCACCGATGCTAGGTATAAACATTTTATTGTTTATTAACTGTTGCAGCATCCCCAAACCAAAATCTTTAGAAACGATTTTTCTATAACACTTTAGTTAAAATCAAATTAAATTTTATTTATTTGCATACACAAGTTACATTAAAATCCATGGGTTTTAAAAAAAATCTCAGTAGTAGCACGGAGTCTAGGATTGTGCCCGGTATATGAAAATAGGCTCACCCCCTATTACATGGGACTCATAACATAAATAGTTAAAAGTAGGTGTTTCTTCTGTGTGCACTTCTGCCTACCCCTTCGAGGATAAAAGGCGTGATGATATGTTATTTGCATACACAAGTTACATTACATGGAAGCAAGCAGTGTACACAGAAACACAAACGCGATCGAGGTAACCGTGGGCTCCGAACTAGGCACAGCCTGTATGTTAGTGGTCCAGAATTTAAGGTTTAGGCTATGTAGTTCGCGCATCATGGTTGTGTTGTGTTACCAGTTTAAGTAAGAATAAAAATAATAAATAGTTTTCAGTTGAATTGAATTCGCACTTCTAGACTGTATTGGTTTTGTCAGTAAATTAAACATAGCTTTGCCTTCAAGAAGCTTCTATTTTAATAAGAAAGAAAACCTAGTTTTATGGGGACAAAATAGACACAAAATAAAAAAAGCAATTATTGTTATTCTGGCTATTATAATTTCAGGCAGTCAACCATGGGTGGAGTATCATTCCCTATAACCGAAGATGCCAAACAAGGAATAAATGATCTCAAACGAGGTTCCTATAACTACTTGCAATTTAAGATAGGTAAGTGTATAATCAGTAATCGGTTTAAAGTTTGTGTTTTAATACTAAACTACCCAACTTCACAACAGAATCATAGTCTTGCTCGAAGCTAATTAGTAATTGTAAACTGTTTTCATAAGTTTCCTCGCGATATATTTCTTTACCAAGTGAGCAGTGTCTAAGACAAGCTTAAAAAGTACATTATTCCTCGATAAAAATGTAGGAGAGCCATGCTTCGGTTCGACGGGAGTGATACCAAGGCCTCACAGAAAACCGACGTGAAACAACGCTTGCGTTGTGTTTCGTCGTGTGAGTGAGGTTACCAGAGGCCCAATTACCCTCTCCTTCCCCAATTTCCCAAATCCCTGAATCCCCTACGATCCTCAAACTCCTAATCCCCAAAAGGCCGGTAACGCACTTGTAGCGCCTCTGGTGTTCCAGGTTTCCATGGGCGAAGCCGATTGCTTACCATCAGGTGATCCGTTTGCTCGTTTACCGGCTTATGCCATAAAAAAAGCCACAAACTCTAATTTACAATTGCAACTTTAATTCCAGAAGTTTTCACATAAAAACTAAGGTATGTTTATTTTTACGTTACAGATTTAGAAGGAGAAAAGATACATTTATCGAAAGCAGCCAATATATCCCTAACGGAGCTACCGCAGCAGGTGCCCGGCGACCAGGCCAGATACCACTTGTACATATTCAAGCATACACATGAAAGTGATTACTTTGAGAGTGTTGGTTCGTATCTTTTTTTATTGTTTACTAGCTTTTTACCCTGGCTGGCGCCACCCGCGTGGATTTAGTCTATGGCATTCTCCATACTCCTCCAACTATACTATGTCATAGTATATTAAATCTCAATAGGGTAATCTAAATAAACCATAAACAAATTAACCTTGGCATCTATAAAAGTTTGGGTTAGGGCCAATTTTTCAATGCTCAGATAATTTTTATTGAGGATTAACAATAAAATTATAAATATTTGACAATTCTTCCATACTAAAAACTGTCAAAAGTCAATTTTATTCTACAGTTAAGAATCAAGTGATAATTGAAAAATCGGCTCTTAACTTCGTCGAATAATTATTGAAAATTTTTAACCGACTTCAAAAATGGAGGTTCACAGTTTGATCTCACGATTGGCTGAAAATATTTTGATGCGGTATCAGTAAAGTGTTTGTTACACTTAATAGAATGTTTAAGTATATTAATGACCCGTCTTCAAAAAAGAGGGGGTTGAGTTGGTTTTCTTAACACCTTGAACGCCATGGGGGACAAGGTATGGGCCACGATAGCGGAGGATTTATCCTCAACAGTTTTCTGTCGGCAGTCAAACTGTTAAACATAGTTGATAAAACAATTTTAATTTGGAAACTTTCAGTAACATTGAACTTAAATTCGTTGCTATAATTTCATAATTTTATTCCACAGTATTCATCTACTCAATGCCGGGATACAACTGCAGTATAAAGGAACGAATGATGTACTCCAGCTGTAAAGGACAGTTTTTGGAAATCATTGAGCAGTTGGGCATCGAGATTGCAAAAAGGGTAAGCGAAATTAATTATTTTTATATCAAATTAGGTGTGTATCAACACCTTATTAAGTGTAAAACAGTAAGGTGTGAAGATATTTAAACACCGAATGTCGAATCAATACTGTTGTCTATTACAAGTGTTAAATAATTTATAATAATAAATATTAGGCTGATTACACTAATAAAGTTGATTACACACTACAGAGATAGTTATACCACAACTCTCATATACTACCAGAGACACTCAACCAATTGTGATGCTAAGTATCTAAGCTAATTGGTTCTTACGTCCACTAGCGTCATCTCCTATAAGTAGTGAATTTTCAGATTTCCCTTCACAATTTCTAAAGAACATTATCATCCATCATTGATTTGATATTCTTTTTCATTGAAATAAAACGTGAACTGTTATTATGATATTGGCGTATGGCCTAAATAACTAAACATACTTACAATCAACAATACAAAAACATCTATAACAATTGAAATTGTAGCTAACACCACTCCAATCACTATATCTTATCCTCGATTTTCACCCTTACAGCTAGAAATAGACGACGGCAAAGAGCTTACAGAAGAGTTCCTTTATGACGAGATCCATCCAAAGAGGAACCTCCACCGTCCAACGTTTGCCAAGCCGAAGGGACCTCCGAACAGGGGAGCCAAACGAATCACTAAGTCACAGAGTACACAGTAGGTGTATTGTTAGTGTAGCGCTGATGGTAGATAAGTGGCCAAGATATAAATGGGTGTTGGATTAAATGAAGGATGAAAATAGATACAGTATAAACAAAAAACCGGACCAATCGTTTCTAAAAAATATTACAAGCTGTCATTCAAATGTGGACAAATACTGAACTGCCTGACATAGCATAGGTCAATCAACCAGGCAGATCACCTGATTGTATATCAGTTCTGCCCATGGACACCCGCAACACCAAAGGAGTCATAATTCCATGTGAAACATTGACTTTTCTATTATTTTGTTACTTGTGCTAGACTGCTGCATATCCATTTTTAATACATTTCTCATTTAATCCAACTCTCTATATAGTATTAAATAAGAAAATATTTTTCTAATCTTCGGAAATCCTGTGGCTCATTGCACAAAATGTGAGATTTAGTATGGAATGGTACATAGTTAGTTTTCTGTGTTTTTCTGCCGTTTAAATAACAACTTCAACTTATACATTTAAAATACTTTATTCTATATGGTATGACCAATATTTTCAATTCAAAGCAATAAGCCACGTGATTTAAATATCTCTATTTTATCAGATGTAGTATTGTAGGTATACGCCTCTTAAAAAACTACATCTAACTTGCTTATTTAAAATTAAAGACTGTCATGTCAAAGTGCAATAAATGAAAAATGCTAAAATTCTTCAAAATGTTTAAAACATGGATTACTTCCAAATCAAGTTTTTAAAACCAACTTCTAAATTGTATTCTTTATTCTTTTTAATGAAGCATGTATGAATTTTATTGTATACTTCAAAAAGTTGTAAATTATAGTTGTATTTGAATATACTGAATTTAAAGTATTATTAATATTATAAATTGTAACTTTAAAATGTAAACGAATTATATAGTTGACAATGAAATTTTAGAAATTACGTAAAGCGGTCTTTTATTTTTTTAATTTAAAATGTGTAAATTCAATAGCTGTCTTTTTAGACCACATATTTTGTGCATCTGTCATTTAACTTCTGTATACGTTTTAAACTGGTAAAAAAATAAAACTCAAGAATATTATATATGGTTATGCTAAAATCTTCTAAATTCAACTGCTTTAGGTTCGCCTGATTAACCTATCAGGTGCCACGACTATTATTTTTTTAGCAATAGTAGATCTTATTCAAATATTCTTCTTTTTATACTTGATAGGTTGGCCACCAAGTTAAAAGGAGTTTGCATAACTATATCTAAATAAAAAAGTATGTTCTTGCTGGCTTCAAAACGTATAATTATTATAAGGTACTGTAAAATTGCAATATATTATATCTTGATACTTATTTCATGTATTGTCGTATTGTATATTTTTGCAAAAATATTATTCGAATGTATATTCTTTTATTCATATTGCGGACTTATTTTTAAATCGAGTTTTATGAACGCATATGTAGCTCAATCTATTTATTAATTAGATCTTGCCATTTTTAAAGATTTGTAACTTTTATTGTTAAATGTAAGCGTTCTTTATAATCTCGTTTCAATAATTATAAGTCTTAGCATTTTTTTACCTTTCGTATATTAAAATTAAGTAAATAATTTGCTGTTTTTAAACTAAAATTTGATGCACAAATGAAATTTGTAAATACATATTTCCGTATATTTTTATAAATCGGTTTGACCACGTATGAATTGTGCAATTTCTGTAACAATAAAACTGCTTTTAATATTATTTTCATTTTATTCAGGTAGCAGCCGAACTTATAATAAAATTGGATAATTCATTCAGATCTTTGGATGTTTTATTTGTTGCAAACTACAATTTGTGTTGTATTTATCTCATCCTTTTAAAATAAAACAAACAGTGTTATAAATTCATTTATTTTACTAATATAATCTATTATATTCACAATCTGCAGATCCAGCTTATAGCTGATATGAATAAAACATCGAATCAGAGAGGTTATTGCCTATGAACAACAAAAGACAAAAAATCAGAAGTTACTTTTCATTTTACAGGAAAACACTTTAAATTTTAAGTTAAATTCATGTTAATTAATCTTGTGACACTAGAATCAATAATTGAAGTTAAATTGAATTAAAACAAACAGATTTTAAAAAGAATATTTAACTTAATATTGGTTTATTTATTTACAATATGGTGAGTTGGATTTTTTATTAATTTACATTTCTTCTATTTTCTTCTCTCCTTCTTCGATAACTAACTTTGTATGGTGGTCCGTTAGGCTGTCATACTTTTGTTTTGATGATTTCTCTAATGCTTGATTGAATTGCTCGTCTCTGTAAAATGAAAACAAAATTCACATGTATAGAAATTAGAAAAACAATGAATAAATAAGTTATTTTGATATTAATTTAAAAGGATTCATTAAATAACAATTTATTTTAATATTTAATGCATTCATATAAATTTTAGTTGGCACCACTGCAATGACTCACAAACAGAAGTAAAATTATTTATAAATCTATAAAGCATCTTCTTATTATAATACACATACTTTTATAAAGGGGAAAAAATTAAAATAATTATAATTAAAATAGTGCCCTAATTCATTTGAAACATTTTTTTCAGTTTGATAGTCCATTTATCAAACATCGCTACGACCAATAGGAGCCAAGCAGAGTGGGTGAACTCGCGTAGAAGTAGCTAATTATCCATAAAGGTGACGGAAAGTAAGCGATGCGGGTGACTAATGAGCAGCACAGAGCAATAGTTTATATGCACAGAAATGGTTAGATAAGTTTCCAATATTTTTATAGCAGATTACAGAAACTAGGTACCTACCTCTACATACTTACATACAAATACTAGACCAGTACTTTATGCATTATAAAAAGATGTTATACTTAGTTGCATCAACTTACCGAGCTTCTTTTAATTTGTACAAAGCTTTTCTAATATCTATCATGTCCACGCCAGTCACTTTCAATATTCCTAAAATAGTTATGCCAGCAACAAAACTCAATGCGGTTCCTGCAAAAACAAACATGAAGCATTATTTTATAATTTATCTATTAATTGTTTGTGTAAACTATACAAGGTGGAGTTTTGAAACCGTGTATTTCTCGGGGGCATGTCACATAAGTCATAAAGGTTCAATGTAAGAGAAAATTTCAGGCCGATAGTTAAAAATACGGCTATAATAAATCATTTAAGTTCAACAGTATTTCAATAAGCGACAGCAATGTTTCTTATAGGAGTTTTATGGAATTAGGAATAATATAAATTACCTGTTTGAGTTTGTCTGTGTTAAGCCGCGTTATAAAACTAGTTACAAGACGGCGGCGTGTAATTCGCACTTACGGATTTCCGTAATTTCAGAAAAATAAAAAATATTTACCTACAATTTTTTTATTGATTCGGACTCAGAATCGATATCCGAGTTACCTCCTAGAAAATGACGCGGCTTTAAAACAACACCTTGTATAAAAGACTCTTAGTTATTCTATACTACATGATTATTTAACAATTACCTGACAAAAATTTCAGACATCTAGTATCAAAGTACAACATAACCGACTATAAAACATTTCTAAGTGTGTAACACTATTTTTAAACAGGTATAGGTCGGATAAATCATATTTTTAAACAGCATTGTAATTAAATAAATAACTTTTTAAGTTGAGTAGTTAAATGATTATTGCATACATACCTAAACCAGCACCCACTAGAGTAGCAGCCAAACCCATATCGATTTTATATAACGCCCCAGTTAGGGCACCGGCTGATACAAACTCAATTAAAGACGTGTCTCCTCGGTACACTGATATTGTGGTTGATGTTAAACTGAAATTGTAAATACCGCGATTAATATGACAGTTTCAATTTCAATGATAATCTTTTAGAAAGAAAGAAAGTAAGAAAAATGTTTATTTCACGCCAAAAAACAAGTGCCATGTACATGTTCAAGTCCCAAGTCTGCCGCAAATTGGGACCAGTTCAGAATGTGCAAGACAGTTTACTGATGTATAATAACAAAAGATGGTAGGATTTCAAGCAATTGCAAAACTGGGAAATAAAATAAGTGAAAAAGGGTCTGCAGTATATCAACAAAAAATGTAAATAGTGTATGGTATGCTCATTGCTGGTATATAATAGCGGAGTATGTAGTGCAAACTTCAGATTATCATAATATTTTCAAATGCATATTCCTCCCAAAATGCTTACAGTAGTAAATTATAAAACGGTATAGGATATAGGATTGATTCTATAGAGCATGTTGAATATACCTGAATATTCCTGTAAAGAAACACAATCTCCAGCCCCACTTATATGCTCCCTTTGCAAATGCTACAGTTACATAATTTTGCAATTGTTTCTGAAAATAAAATAGATAAAATTCTTGTAATTTTTTTCTTAGTAAGTAAGCATGTCTGTATTTAATTTTATACTTTGATTGTTATTAAAACAAATATAAGTTTAATCTTTTTATAATATTACCTTAGCGGCGGCAGTAGATTTGAATATTGTAGCTTGATTATTCTCAATGAAATTCAGATAAGCTACCCGAGAACTAACAAATCCTCCCATACACGCACCAATAAACGCTCCACATAATGATGACTGCAGTACTGTGTTTAATTCTTCAGAAACTTCCTCAAATTCACTAAAATATTATTAAATTTGGAGGTCAGTTTCTACATAGAATAATTAATTAATAAGTAGTTGGTCATATTGCGTGAGCGAAATAATAATTATGTATTGTATTAAATAGAATAGTTATTGGACTTGGAAATCTATCAAAATAAAGCTAGAGATTCATTTTAAACTAAGGACTCATAACAATTAGTATTTAATTTGTAAAAGACATTGTACGGAGAAAAGTAACCTCAATGTTTGCGTTAAGATTTTATATATCAATCTGCTTACCCGCCCGTATACATTTGTTTGACTCTATCCCAACCCGTCTCAGGACCACTAGGGTTTGGCCTATTCAGCAGGTCCTTGTCATATTGACTAGAAGAATGTCGAAATACGCCTAAAGCTATTGTCGGTGACAACTTCGTGATTGTACGAAACATTTTAGCAAATAAATAATTTACTGCAGCAGTAGTCCTTATCACTAAAATAACTCTTATTTATATACACAACATAATATTATCTTCTAATATATTAATTCCGTTTTCAAATTTTCATTTTCATTTCACACAAACCGAGAAACCCCGGTGACATTCAATGTAATGTTTTGACAGTAATGTCAGTAATTTGTCAGATGACAGTAATAAATCCGTTCGAAAACGTAAGGTAGCAATTCCATTTTATGACTCAAAAAGATTTTAACTATTTCTAATAATTTTTGGTAACATTAATTATATTTTGCGTCTTAAATTTAGATATGCTTCCTACCATGTAACTGTTTCACGACTTAACTAGACTACTGAATAATTATTCTGAGTGATGCTTTGGGTCCAAAGTCACGAAAAATATTGCGCAGCTAACCCTGCTAAAACTGAGCGTTTTGTGGCGTTTTGCCACTCACCCCCAACGCTGGTCTTGGAAGCTGTCAGGATTACTTTCAAGGGAGGGTTAACAAGATAACGTGCTTTATTTTTATTTTACAATATGCGACTCCAGTGCCAAAGCGGGAGAAGACATTTTCCTCCTCAAACAAAAATGACACGGCCCTTATCAATAACCTATGTTTATGTCAAAATACCTATTTTGCAAGTAAGCACACTTCCCACTTCGACCTTTAAATAATTACGTTTGACCATGTTTGTGTTTGACAGTTTAACTCGCCTGATGGTAAACGATGATGACCCACCCATAAACAACCTATTCACTTGGGCCTTGATGACACCCAGGACCAGGAGCCTTTAGAAAACACAGTCTCTGGTACAAGGAAGCTTGATGCAAAGCGCGTCATGCGTGTCGGTGGGACATCTACCATGAATTGGTGACGCTTCGCCGATTGTTTTGTGGTAATCGTACCAACAAGACAATTGGCGAAGCGTCACTAGATTTATTTGAATTAAGTTGTGCAATTTCCCTGCACACTCACCGAAATGTATCCGGTAGAAAACGGAAACGCTGCTTCAAGATAGTCGCCAAATAAGTGTATCTTTACAGGATTTTACTTAAGTTTAGGCTTTTTTTTGTAGGGACTATTTAATATACTTAAGGACTTCGAGGTTTGCGATATTAGATATTGCAAGTTTCAACTGATTTGGTATCAAGTACACCCGGATACCGAGTATCGTCCAGGGCCACGTGCACCTTAAACTAGGTGCAAAGCATGATGCATCACGGAAAATTATTGATGTGGTTTTCGATTTTAAAACTTGCCATTAGGCTAGTTTCCTAAATTTTATTTTATTGTCCGTATGGTTTAAAACATTATTTCAAGATTACTTTAAAACATTAGACACGTATTTTTTCTTGCCTCTCAAAATTAAATGCTTTCGACTATATATTGATTTGAAATGTCGTGTGTCGTAACGACCTCCCTCTCCTAAACTTAACTCCATTTTATCTAAGTATTGTAAATTTATAAATAAAATAAAATAAAAATAAAATAAGCCTTTATTGCTGTAGTTACAATAACAAGAATTACAGTTGTAACCAAAGTTGCAACAGAGTTAAATAAACAAACTTAAAAACTACTCTAACATTATCTCAGCAATTGGTTTCTCTCCTCTTACAACAGCTTGTCTTTCGACAAAGGCCTCCTCTAAGGATTTCCACTTGTTTCTGTCCTTTGCTACACGTAACCATTCTGGCCCTGCTACTCGTTTCAAGTCGTCTTCCCATCGTTTATACTGTCTTCCTCTACTTCTCCTGCGGTCTCTAGGGTACCATTCCGTAATTATTCTGGTCCATTTCTCTCTCTCCTCTCTCAGCATATGTCCTGTCCAGCGCCATTTCAGCGTTCTATATACTGATAGGACATTTCCGAACTTGGTATTTTCTTTGATTTCTTTAAGTTGTATCTTATCCTTTCTTCTTACCCCCAGTACACTTCTCTCGATTCCATTTTGGCATATCTTTAATTTATTCTGCTGGTGTTTAGTTAAGGCCCAAGTTTGGCATCCATATACAAGACATGGCAGTAAACAAACATTGAATACTTTTCGTTTCTCTGTCATAGTCTTCATTTTTCATTATTTCGCTTAGTGACCAGAATTTTTTCCAAGTATTTGCTATTATTCTTTCAATTTCCTTCTGCATACACTCTGTCGGTGATACTAATTGGCCTAAATAAATATATTCGCTTACATATTCCAGCTGCTGATTGTTGATTGTAATAGCAGGTTTTTGTAGTGAATTGCTCATTATTTTTGTTTTTGAGATGTTCATTGTGAGCCCTGCATTAGCATGTAAATGTAAATTTATACGAGAAAGTAAAAAATACGTATCTAATATTTTTTCATTATCTAACTGACGGACTTATTACATTTTTGATTTTCTTACCCTGGAAACTACCCAACTGCAAGAAATGAACGCTATATTATACAAAATCAATGGCTACTTAGATACTGTTTATTCTGGACAACCATATTGTGATATACAATGACATAATTTTTGTTATAGATAGGTACCTACCCACTTATCCACAATTATTTTTTAACTTTTCTCCTCACTAGTATTTTCTTAAGAATGTTTAAAACCATTTAACTAAATAAATAATAGTTAAATACACTAGTCAGTAGGCCAACTTGTCCTCCCTTTGTTAAACTTATATTTGTGAACTTTATGCTTTTGACTTAAAGTCGAAAATTCAATGAAAAACTTACACTCTGCTACAAGGTTCAAAATAAGCTTTTTTGGTTCACTCAAAGAATTGTTCAGTTGAAATAGGTTTCACAAAATCTAGAGAACTTTTATAACCAATGGGGTTTACACCCCCAGTGAAGACATAGCTTGGCATGCTGATTGACCGTTTGATTGTACCTTGGCAGAAGTGGGCCCATTTATAGAATAAGTAATATTCTTGCATCGACGGTGTCGTCTTGTCTTGTCGAGGTAGGAAATGAATGCATGGTCCAAATTATTTGTAAGGTTTTGATAGACTTGTGTAAATTCTTTATAGGTTTAACTTGTAGGTACCTGGTACACCTTCCCTAAAGTAACCTGTTGGCAGTTATCGTGATTCGGTCATTCGATATACCTATCTTGCGTCAAACTGGGTACACTTCCAATGTGGTAGAATAAAGGTTGAAATAAAAAAAAATCTCCATTTTCAACTATATTTTATTATAAAATCACAAAGAATAAATCTAGAATTCAATAGGGTAGTCACTTAGATATTAATATTGTTGTATATATTTATAATTCATATAACTGTTTTACATAATGTAGTTTAGTAAACGCACGGCCTCTCAGATGAACCGTGCGTGCATCATAAAAGTAAATGTTCACAAACAATCATCAAAATATGTTTCATAGTGAAATATAGCTCGCTAAAGCTTGCCATTTGATTTTAGACGTGTCTTTATTAGAGATAAAACATTAGTTAAGTTGAAAGGAAAAATATTATTATATCCCTGTTATTTTTCCCAACGATTGGTCTTTGGCATATTGAATTAAGACTAATTAATATTGACATGTTCAAATTGTTTCAGCAAGTCTTACTACGATAGTGAACGAAATTAGATGTGCTTCCCGATAAACTGATGAGTTAAACTTTACGTTGAACCACTGTTTACATCTATTTAACTATTTTAACTTTACACACAACCCTTTAATTTGCACACCTTTATTTAATTATTTTAATGAAACAACTAAAACGTTATTAAACGAAGAAACCAAGGGAGGTAGTAACAGTAGATAATATCTCCTACGAAGGGTTTCCATAAGTTAGGTAGGTATATAATTAACTAGAGCGACTACTGAAATTAAGATAGGATATTTAACTAGTAAATCTTAAAGTAAATGATTATTTTAATCTTTACTATAGATCCTATTAATTTAATTTGTAATTATTAACAAAGTCGTGTATAATATTTACAATTTCAGATTAATTTAACATGAGTGCAACTGCCAGCTCTTGCTCAGGATGCGGTCGAAACAATTCAATCTAAATACATACAATTCGGAGTCTGTACACAGCTGTAGTCGGTTGGGTCTCGCTCCGAGTGTCATCGAGTGGCAGTCGCACAATAATTTCGCTAATTCAACGTTTCATTACGGAATGGTTCAGTTCTTTCCACACAGTGGGAATAAGGGACGTGGCACGGACACAAAATAACCGCCTCGGACGATCAAATGCCACGGGCAGCGCTATAATTTTATTCACATTATACCCTGTGCGAAATACAATATTCCACTTGATAATATTATATAAAACATAATTATCATTGGCAATATTTAAGTCCCTTACTCCCTTTACAATTCAATTAAACAACGTGATTTATTTATTTCGCCTAAATATTTATTTTCTCGAGTCAGTAGACCCAGTTGGAAAGGTAGAGAATGTTTATTCACAAGTTTTATAAATACATCAAAGCGTAATAGATATACTTTAAAATGTAGTCGAGTGTAGATTTCGCCAGGATAGTAATAATTAAGTTCTAAGTACGAATATGTCTAGAATACCAATTGTGTACTAATGTACATCATTTCATTATATTGATCCCCTTTAACATTTATAAGTTTTATTTACAAATACTTTCTCGAAACTTGTTCGGGTGGTCTGAAATAAAGGGATGAAATTACAACTATAGATATTGATGAATAACGAACTGAACGTGGCAGTGTATGATTGGTATGAAAACATGACGCTGCTGTTACTCCGCACCGCTGCCGTATCGTAGACAATTGGTATGGAAATATAAAATAAAAAAGGATTTAGGGTAGAAAGGGAAAGGATCGAAAATAAAGAACAAAAAGTATCAATGATAATAATAGTTTAATTATGAAATTAAAAATAAAGAGTGAAATTAACCACACAAAAGGCTTAAAATTAAAAATAAGAACAGACGACGACACGTGAACTTACAATGAAACATCTCGCGGTCGTCGCCGAGCTGAAGGAAGTAGACAACTAGACAGAATATCGAGGAGCGAGACAGGTTATACTATATGCGCCTTAGCCATACTTCTATTTACTGATATGTCGGCCTTTATTCATATCGTTACGAAGTACTAAATACAGCTAATATAATAATATGTATGTAGTAGAGATAAATATTATAAAGCGCAATAAAATATAAGCATATTCAGTGTGATATGCGGAGATATGTATGGAACGCAAGAGAGACATAGGAAGGTGCGCTAACGCATAGAACAAGCACGTGACAGTCCGCCGAGCGCGGGACATCGTCAACACATCCGAAAACAACTTTCACATCATTTTTCAACGCATAACTTTAACTAACAAATTGAAACAATGTTCACTTACAATGAATAAAATTGCATATATTGCGCTTAATAAAACTCTCAAATATAATTTAACTGTAACATTTTCATCAACTTTTCAATAAATGTTAAGATTACTTCAATTACCTTTTACCTAAAATAATCTGTATTGACTTTAAATTTGGCATCTCATCCTAAACACTGATCTATTTATTTTTAATAATATTACCATTAAAATCTAGATATTTAAAATACTTCTCTAAACACATAAATTCCTATAATTATCTATTAGTCAATACCAATGTTATTGAGAAAAGTTTAGGCCTGAAAACGCTACACACACAGTAGTACATACATGTAGTAACGGAGCGAGTCTACGAATGTATTGAGCACAAGCGACTGAGTATACGCGACTGTTACGAGCAAACCATTCAACGTCAACCAAACGCGGCATGTGTGTAGCGTTCTACGCTGAGTACACTGGATATGTAATCTCCTCTTTGTGATTCATTAATTTAAATACATAGTAATAATAATACAATTATTATTAAAATTACAAATGCGATTACCGCCGCTCTCACGTCACTCGACCACCAATCCTCACCATTTCAAAACACAGGCACAGAATCCTGCGCCGTATAGAAAAACATTTTCAAAAACGTGCAAAATATCACCACACCCTGGTCACCTAACATTATCTAAACCAAATAACTACTTTTACGTTCTTATTATAGGTAGGTACTGATTAATACAATTGTATGATTAAATTTTTCTATTAAATCTTACATCGTAATGACATTCTAATATTTTTTTTTCAGTTTAATCATCTTACTAAGCTCTATATCTTATGTATGTTACGTGATATATATTATACATTTCATAATAGTGTAAATATGTGTGACTTTTATAATTTCACAAATGTTTTCTAAAATAAAAATTTATTTTTATTAATTTGCCGTGTGTTTGCCGACACTGGGATATGTTGAAAGTAATGCAATAGTGACGCTTGCCTGATGTGGATGCGTGGTACGTGCGCAGCCTGCGCCTGCGCCGCTCTGTGTCCGTCTGCCTGTACGTGTATACTGTACGTGTATACTGTACGTGTATACTGTACGTGTATACTGTACGTGTACACTGTACGTGTACACTGTACGTGTGCACGAACCGTTACCTCTTATTAACTCTACAATATACATTCCCTTTGCTATCCTAATTGAATACCGACCGTGGCATCGTCGAGATATGTAATGCGTTGGTTGATACGATATACTGACACTTACAATATTAATTAACATGCCAGCCGGCTCCCGCGGATGGCATCAGTATTCTCCTACTCGTCATATTCAGGTATCTGGTTCACGCATGCTTTGCCTAATCACATAATCTGGACGTGTAACTGAACACTTAAACTGGTCCTAACGGTAGCATGGCTCTCGCGGGCCGCGGGCATCCCTCTACCAACAAATTCGTAACCATATACAATCTTTTTACAAAAGCTTCCCTACCAGACTTTAAATATTTGAGACGAATTCATAAGATTTTGATAACGTAATCACTTAATTCACAAACTTAATCTCTTTTGCATTGGACTAGACATATTTTTAATTAATTTAAGAAGGCAAAGATGTGTGAAATCCAATCGAGAGTTTAGCGAAGTCCGAAGTGTGAGAAGCGAACACATCGAATTCGGAGTGTGTCTATATACAAAACGAAGTATCGAGAAGGACAGCTCATTAACTAAAATACTGTTTCATCAAGTTATTGTGACCTAGTGTAAATACTGTTGATTAAATATGTCGTAGAGCAAAATCAGATCTGGCTAATACTTTATAGACCGTCGCCGCAATTCCGCTGCAGTGTGGCAATATCGTAGCAGTACTGGAAATTATTCTAAATATGTTCGCGACAGTGGCCACACCGCCCAGCGCCCCCTACCGCTCACAATAAATAATTATCTAAAATTAACCACTTAGTGAAACGTATGCACGAGCATTTATATATGTTGTAGCTACCATTAATATAAATTAACATCGAAATAAATGCATCATGTCACTATTATGTCACTGAACATAACGTTTAAATAGTGATATACAACTAGATGCTTAGCGATAAGAGTTGTGATTACACTAACTAATCGTCAATAACTATGAATCAAGTGTAGAACAGACAATATCCTCCTAACAACGAAACAAGAATGGAAGCAAGGGTACGGTTACATCTAAAATATATTATTAAAATTATCTCTACAACTAATATTGCACACACATACACATTTCTAAACATAACATTCCATTAATAAAATAAGAAAAAATGTGTATGCGTACAAAACTATATTAACTTACAAAGAAATGCAATAATAGTAAATTGTGCATATTAAAATAGACAATAAAATATATTATGTATAAAATACAATTTAAGATAATAACTGCAAATGATGTGACCGAGAGATACTTTAACAATGTGCTATAATAATGTGATGAACAAAATTGTAAGGTGGTACACAACCGGGCACCGAACCCGCGAGCTCCGCGAGCTGGCGGCAGGCAGTGTCTCACACTGCGCGGCCCGGGACTCAAACCTAGCGCAATCTAATTGCAACACATACCGTCCTGATAATGTATAATAACCAAATTATATATTGTAATCACCGGGAAACATTACGAATTACAAAAATAAAATAATATTGATATACTTATTTAAAATATGGAATGAATATCACACAAAATATAATTCCTCTCTACGTTGATACGGTCCGTGGGGGATCGTATGGAAATACAAGCAGCGTTTGACTGTGATGATAGTATCTTAGATTAGATGTACAGTAACAGTAAACGTACGTATTTATTAAGAAAATAGAATAGCACTTAATCTCTAGTGATCCATGTAAGCGTAATACAGATATATTTTAATTTCAGTCGAGGGAAATTCTCGATTTGTGTGAGAGGTACGATGTAAGGGTCAGTCGCGCGGAGGCTCGCGCGGGCGCAGTGTGCAGCCTGACGGCAGGCGGCCGGCGACTGCCTGCTTGTGTGATATTCCGCCGCGGCTTAGATGCTGGACTTGGAGAACGACACCCGCAGGTGGTTGGACTCCGACAGCTGGTAGTTGTGCATCTTGATCAGCGCCGCCACCGCGTCGTCGATCGACGGCAGCTGAACCAACGCCATCTTGCGGTCCTTACTGAAATTATAAAATTGCATTTTTAAAATCGTTTACAAGTGAGAAAGCTGTGCTTTGAGAAGAATGGGCCGGCTCAAGAGAGTACTACGGCTTCACTGAAAACATTGCATTGTGCAAAAAGCATTGCATTGTTCCACCGTGTGGTTGTCAGGTTGCCAGGCTCTAATCCACTCCCTCATGCGCTGTCTTCAATTGGTGTCTCCAAATTCCCAATTCCTAAACCTAGCCGACAATGCATTTGTAACTCCTTTGGTGTTAAGTGTCTCCATGATGTGCCATAAAAAACCCTAAAATAACATCTAAAATTCAAAACTACAATCAAATACAAAAGTAAGTACTCACGGGAAGAACTTGAACGCCTTAATCGTGAATCCTCGCTTGGTGAAGGCTTCCTTGATATCATCTTCAGACACCGTAGCTCTGGAAATTGATTAGATTGATGTTAGATAACTTTGGAAGTAGTATACGATTGTTTTCGAGAAATAACTGAAAAGGAGTCTTACGGAATGTTGGACAGGTGGAGGGTCGCGCTTGGTGGGTAGATGTTCTGGTAGTTTTTGCTGCCAGGCTTCTTGAATCTATGCAGCGGGCTCTGGGAGTAGTCCCTGAAAATTAAAAATGCACACATAAGCACTATTATTTTTCTTACTGTTATAATTTCGTGTCAGCACAATATTATTTAATTTTCCATTCTGCATCAGATTCAAATATTATACGATGGCAAACGTCTTTTTGTCACATAGTAAATTATGTACAAAACACTATCAACCATTTGTAGATATATAATATTCTTGCTACGAGATGTAAACATTTCGTAGCACAAGTTTCGTAGGTCTACTACGCACGCTCTAAAGTCTACACCGTTCACTGCTACGCGCGTAGCAATGCCCCTACGCACGTAGCAGTGACAATCTTACTGCGCAATTTAGTTTCGCATACAATTAACTGCTTGTGTTTTTGACATTGTGCAAATATTAACTATGCGTTAATAATTTTTAATGTTATAAATAAACGAATGTCATATGGTCACTCGATATGGTGTCAATATAATAAGATAACCTTATCTGTGTGGTTAAAATATTAAACATTGCTTTATTGTAGCTTCTAGAATATTTGACGCAGATTATTGAATGAGTATTGGAAATTTAGGCTTTACGAACGTCGTACAAAATAGGGCCACAAAGTCAAGCTCCGATTGAGACGAGTGATATAGGTATAAAGGTCATGTCAATCAGTCTAAAACAATATTTGTAAATCTGTCAACGAAATATGTTTTTGGTTCCCAAAATAGATTTTATGATTAAAATGATTTTAGTTCATAGTACTTATTTACTGTTCCTTTGTTCGGGTTGTCGCAAACGAGTTTTTTTCCAATCGAGAAATACCTATATTATTTGTTTTTATTAGTCTTAAATCGTACTCGGTGTAATACCATTGGTTAAACTTTGCCCTACACTGGACTTTTCTCCTGTGTCGTGGGTGCGTTTACAAACATACAAGTTCACATACACATGACACCCAGACCCGGAACAACAATCTGTGGATCACACAAAGAGTTGTGCCGTGCGGGAATGGAAACCGCTACACGTTGCGCGACAGCCGGTTGCCCAGCCACCGCACCTATCATGCAGTCATTAAAATGGAGATTAGTATTATATTTACACAATTTTATGTCTGATTTCAAGGGAAACATCTACAGAAACGGCCTCAACTTAAGAATGAGCTAAGATACGACAATTGTAAATTACCTGGTCAGACCAGCGTCTGGTTGTCCTTCCTTGGGCAGCTGCACAGTCTGGTGCTTGCTCAGCATCACGCGCATCGCCTTGCCGAATACGCGAAGTTTGTCCATGTGGGTCATCGCTGGACCAAAGATGTAAGATTAAGGTAAGTAGGTATTTCTATGTGATTTACTAGCTTCGTCTCTTGAATATGTTTTACTAAGATCTATGTTTTATGATAAAACCGATCTTTGCAAAATGGTTTTGTTGCCTTTGTACCTACGGTTCTCAAAAAATAAGTTTCCAGCTGTGTCTTCTAAGAAGAAGGGTTGTACGTATTCTATATTTACTAGCTCGAGATTATTTGGTGAATGTAATTCAAAAGAGCATATTTTCCAATATTAAATTTGAGCTTAGGAAAACCTGTAAACTTCAAATTCCGCAATTTTTTTAAACGTTTAACAAAAATATATTTCATTACTCTATTGCAATTAATCAAGACATACATATGAAATATCTATGAAATTCTCAGATAGTAAATAAACAGTATTTCTTAAAATAATCTTAATGAAGTCGACTAAGTAGAAAGTAAAGTAAACAACGACACTTCATGTTATAAGAAAAATAAACTAGAGCAAAGAGGACAACCATAAGTACACTCATAATCCTAAATAAATACAGCCCCTTGTGAACGGGAAACCGACTTTATGTCGATAGGGGTAGGGTTTAGAATGGATTACGTACCTAGATGGGCCTGGTGAGGTTCGGCCATCTGAATGAGGGCTGAATCTTTCTTGTTGTAGAGAATCTTCACCCGTTGCACATCCCCGTACACGCCTATACGCAAACAAAAGTCTTACAAACACGCACCGAGGTTATATCACAGTCACTATAGATAAAAGATCGGTATTTGTGTAGAGTGTGTTTTGTTTATATTCAGTAACAAGTACACTTGAGTTGAAAGAAACACAATCTAACAAAAACCGGACAATGTAATCTCAATGTTGTCTAGAGTATACGTACATCTATCTAAATTACTACACTTAACACTTTCCTAACACACAGCATGTTTTAGTACAACGGCTCGTAATATATAATGTCGTGAAACGGGACAGTTGGAAAATACAAGAAGAAACAACTCCAAGCTCTAAATTGGTCACGTTAAGCTTTCGATTAATGCTTTAGCGGTTACCAGCGCGGGCCGTGTACTGGCGCGCTGTGTTAAGCAAATTACTGCAAACAATTATTCATTTCTACTGACTAGTTAACTAGCATCGAGTTCTTATATTCTCGTTTGTTTGTTAACGCACCTCTTTATAAAAAGCTTAGAGGCGATTACCATGTTTGTGGTGTCGCCGTTTACGGGTGGTACGGTTCCTACTAACTTAATAAAAAACATAAAAATAAATGTTTATATGACGATCTCGTCACATAGAGATGCGTGTCTCGCTGTACCGTGTCTAGTATGAAACTGACAGCCCACAAAGAAAAAAATAAACTGAAATAAAGACAACACTGGGTATACAGACGTCTAACTAACTTAGCTACGACTAGGGTGTCTGAAACACAAATTGTCATACGAGTTAATAAAGCGTTTAGAATTTAGATTCGATAGTGTTATCAAGCAAAGCTTCGACAAGTCGTCGGATGCGGTTATCAGTACAGAAGTCGAGAATGTTAGCTGACAATTTGTCTTTCAGGCGACAGGGCTCAGGAGCAATATTAATGTTTTAATATAAAATACGGAATGTATGTGCACACGTACCGAAAAGGGTAAAGAGAGCGTCAGGCGTGACCATCTAAAACAATAGGAAAGAGAAAAGAGACAGTATTATAAATAGTCGTAAAAGATATCTGACATCATATCTATAAATAAATTAGCAACTTATCTTTAAGGAGTTTAAGTAGAATATATAAATATAACAGCCTGTAACGCCCTTCGTGTGGTTAATGCATTAGTTTGTTTGAATATAAAGTGAGCCCACAATCACAATGGTGTCTGACACGGGCGTTACTGGCTATTGTGTTAGCGTAATGAATAAATTTGCCAATAAACATTAAACTACTAAGTCGAAACAATGTAGGAATTTTGTCTAAACTGTTTAAGTACAATCGGGAGTCGTTTTTGGATTTTATCAAGAGCAATTTTAATCTGAGAAGTTTTAAATTCTGTATTTTGTATTTGACAGGTAGAAGGGCGGTTACGAGAAACAGAAATATAAATCCGCCTGCCAGTATTGAGGTGGGTTATGTTGTTTGCGTGGGTGTGAGTACCAACCTCCTCGTTGAGGTTCGAGACGAGCAGCACGGTGGCGAGCGGCAGTGGAGGCGCGGCGAGCGCGCGCAGCGCCGGCGACGCGGGCGTCAGCGTCAGCGCGCCGAAGGCAGGCAGCCCCACGCCGCCTACGCCTACGCCGTACGGCGACGCCAGTCCGGAGCCCAGCCCCAGGAACTGAGGCGCCAGCACCCCACCACCTGCGATTATAACACTATGTCACAAAACGAACCTATTTTTATTCCATATCAAAATGTAAAAAGGAAAATTATAATTTAATATACATATCCCAATTGTCTTTTTATTCTACCCTACTCCTAACCTACATATAAAAATGATTTGTAAAAGTTGGTACACATACGTAAATGGAAGTCAACAGCAATAAAAACAAATCAAAGAACATAATTATAACATAAGCAGAACATTCGCAATGGCGGAATGATCCACACATATTACAACTCTCTACGGTGCAATACGGATTTATGACGAGTTATTAGTCACCGCGGGAATATTTAGCATTGAAATATGAATAATAAACAAGAAAAGAGCTAACGTGGAATAGCAAATGTAATTTGGAAGCGTTATTGAAGATTTATTTCACACTGTTACTCCATACGCATATTGACGCAACAAAAAAACACGCATTTACAGCCAAGAATACAAAATCACCGTAATTTGCAACATAAAGAAAAAAGGCAAAGAGGCCTTTTATACAAAAACATCAAAAACAGTGAAAATGAATAAAATATGGGGACCTATCAGACTACACGGGGAACAAAGCATATCTCAGGCATTCAAGATTAATGGTATTACTAGGGACATAGATAATGTTCAGAGTTCTAACGTAATGAACATACCTGACTTTGAAGGTATAAGAGATCGAAAGTTTTGAGATAAGACAACCAGAAAACTACCTTAATAAAAAGGTGCAAGAGCGATCGAAGTGAAGTCCAATAGCCAAGTGTAGAGAGGCAGACGTGGATACCAATTAAAAACAAAAAGGTTTGAACAACGATCTGCCCCATAGCGCAGGTCTCGTGGATGCAGGACAAGAGTCTACAATACTGTGTGAGAGTTGGAGCGCAGTGTAAAAGCTTCCAGGTGCGCAGAGTAGTGAGGACTAACTCATCCTGGATGCGAGGGCCAGGGCGAGGCGTGCCCGCAGTGGCATCAACTCACTGGTCAACAGCTGGTGCGCGTCGCCGTCGCCGGAGGGCAGCGTCGGGTTCGTGTAGTCCCGGGACTTGTCGTTGTTATACTTCACGTTGAGGCACGTCATCTTCGAGTAGTCGATGCGCAGTGTGCAGCACCCGTTGTAAATATTCTGCCCGTCTAAAGCCTAAAAATAAATAAAAAAAGTTACCATTATTGAAACAACTTTTCTCGTTTGACACGAAAACAGAACGAATTATAAATCTCATCAAAAACATATTACAAGTCGAGAAAGTTTCACTTCTTTTGAGGGTCGTTTATTTGAGTGATAATAAGGATGTGATGATTTTTAGTAATAAAGTGAATCGCATTCAATTTAACTTTTTAATACAATCAAGTTTAAAAGAAAACGTTAGGTAACCCTGGCTCGTTGGCTTCTTATTCATTTTATAATTTATGTCGGAAGTATGAGGACAACAAAGCAAAATTCCTTTTAGCACGAGATAAAAAAGTGGATCGATACACTACCCGTAACAAAGAAGAAAAACTCGCATTATGGCCGTGTCAAAATTGTTACGTAGCGAGAGCAACAGCTATTTGTTTGGCCGCGACGCCTGCGGGAGCCTGATAACACCACATCGCGATAGAAAAGAGAATTAATTAAAATGCAACAGCACTCAACCCATTCCTGCGAGCATAAAGCTAGCTCGTCGGCGCGGGCGGCGCGCCTCTACATATTTTTATAATGAAACCAGAATGCAACACGTTTTATTTTCACTAATGAAACTAATGCTATAAAAGGACTGTCGTATTTATGATCGTGGTCTCAGTGCGATCGTCTGGCATTATTTATTGTTACGAATGTCATACAACTTCGCAGAGAATACTTGGATGCTTTATGTTTGTTTCGAAATACGAACTTTAGTTGCAAGCATGATGTTAAGTGTGTATATTGAAACTGGATTTTGAACTTTGAATATTCACTTCGAAAGAAACTTAACAATTTTCTAAATTAATAAAACAGTTTCACTCAATTAAGTGTTTCGTGAATCCAGGCCGTTCGGCGGGGCTTTAAAAGGTTTTGTTAGCATTTAGGTGAATACAGAATACGCTTAAGTAGTTGTGCTGTGTTACACACTGAATTAATTTAATTTGATAGTGACTTTAAAATGAGGCGTTGAAATGGTTTTAGGATAACCTTACTAAAATGTTTTACGTAAGAAGCTGCTAGAAGAAAAGTTTTATCACAGGATAAAAATTAAAAGCATGAATTATTTAATTCCTGTGGAGTAAATTGGAGTTCCTTTGTAAACCGTCATCTGTCAAATGAATTATGACATTTTTACGACGGACTCCATTAGCTGAATAAAAATGTTTTGGGCTTTTAATGCTTTAGTAACGTAAATGATTGTGCTAGTAGCTATCGTTAATTATTGCCGGAGCCATTGTCTTTTTCTGTTATTTTTGCGTCAGAGGCTGACAGTAATAAAAAATATAGGGCTGCAGGGTAAATAAATCAAGTAGATCAGTTTTAATAGGTGCCGCTCATAACAACTCTTAACAGTCCAATAAAAATATCGGAGGACTCTTCGAAGAAGCAAAAGTTCGATGTCGGAACGTGGGATATTGGCTGTAGATTTAATAAATTTCTGTTCTATATGCAAATGCGACCTCCTGATGTGTAGACGTGAATAGATTGGCTCGTTTAAAGCTCAACTTATATGGAAATGCGAAAGGCACGTAAGAAAGCGTGGAAGAAGATAGCTTCGATACGTAATTAGTTTTGTAGAGCCTCGAGGCCCGAATTCGATTTTGAATGCCAAATGTACCGCGGCGAGCGTAAGAGAATGTAACGAGTAATTAATTTACAATTCTAATGTACATTCATTTAATACATAGACATCGTCGAGTGACATTTTAAAAGTCAAATGAGAACATAATCTGTGATTCCGATATTGTTTCATTCTCGGCAATTTGCATTCGTTACCAAAAATTACGGGATACGGCAGTCATAACAAGAGTGGACATTACAAAGCATATCTCAAGTGGCAATTATCTAGATATTCATACAAAGAAATGTTTTCCTTTTTTGTTTAAATCCTGAAAGCGATTATCTTAATTGATATGAAACCTTTTCAATCAGACAGAAATCCGAGCGGACAGATTTTTATTGAAATGGGGATATAAAATTCGCGGAAATAATAATCCATCAACTTGATCATTCGTCTCTTAGTGTGGTGTATAAGTAGTATGGATGCCTGTACAATAACTTTTGAATAAATATATAGGAGTATCATATACCTAGGAATGTATCAATTCATGAATTTGGAAAAATGAATCATTGTTGCATAATTATGTAGGTGAGAATAGAAGTTAGTAGATTTGTTTTGTGTTTCATATTTGATTAACAAGTTTGTTTTTTAAAATGATTGCTCTCATATAAAAGGGTTTGTATCTGCTTAGCCCAAGTGCAATATGATTTTGTTAAAATCAGAACATACTGCTTTGCGTCAGCAGGAAATTTCATACTATAGGTACAATAAGATCCACATAGATACAAGTAAAATAAACTGTTACAATAACAATTAGACCTTTAATGAAGATATCTCAGTTGAACGTTTGTCGTGGATTTGCCAAAGAAAAGAATGAGAGGAAAAAGAATAAGAGGGCACGAAGGATTTTGAATTGCAGATTAATTTCTTACTTTTTATAAGCTTTTTCGGAGGCACTTTTGAATTTAACTCGGTCGTTACTTTAAGAAGTCTTATTTTAATCTAAAAATCTCGTTGTTGCTTAGAAAAGATTGTGTATATTTTTCGAGTGAATCTGCAAAAACATTAAGTCGTTAGATATTAGGCACTATGAATAACATTTCAGTTAATATTCTTTTATTGCTTTAGGTAAGTAGCCAGAGAAATTGTTTAACGATTTCACGGCAATTAGTTTTGTGGTCTTTCTGCTAAGTTGTTCCTTTATCTAATCTCGACTGACTGTAGGTCAACTCCCTCCGAGACTAATATTTCATTTAAGTTGTGAGATCTACCGGCGAACAAAGTTATTCCAGAACATTAGCACCTGACCGTTGTAAAATCCGGTATTCAAACTATGAAGGAAAATGTTCTCTTTCGGCGAGACCCCCCCGACTCCGATCTACAGCTCTCTCAGTATCAATATTCTCGAGAATTTCATTTTAATCTTCTGAAATGGTTATTTGCGCTCGCGGAGGGAGTCGTAATTGAGGTAAAAAAAATATTAGGAAGAGTGACAAGGTGATAAAACGACAAACGTCACGCCCGATTTTATATTGGAATCTTTTACTGCGTAATAGGGTGAACGAATTTCCGTTCAGTCGATTTATTGGATTCTACAAACACTGATAATAAATTTTTCACTTATATTTTCTGAGGTAGAAAGTCAAGTTTGAGCAGAGGAGACGGGAAGGGTTCGCGGACACTGTGTCGGCGGCGCCAACGTAAGACGTAACAAGTGTCGTCCGTATCTCTTAATCACGTCTCCGGTAATTGTTTTATCTTTAGCTCGTTAGAACTCGTTTAAGCAAAGCCTTCTTAGTGAAGGATTAAATGCGGCCGCCTTAATCCACCCCCCCTCCGTTGCTAATTCTGGCGGTTTTTCCACGGAGACCAGATAAACGTTTTTGTTGGGGTCCCGAGCTCGCCGCGTTTAATATTTATAAGAGCCCACATAGCTCAGAGTGCTTCTGTTGCCGGTGCAAGGATTACGCTAGTGCCGCAATGCATTTGGTTTTTGTCCGCAGATGACGTCAGAGAAATTGTAATGAAAACATTTCGGACGCATCATTTTTATCAACCGTTATGCTTTTATATTTATTATGTTCAATTTGTGTAATATAGAGGTACATAACAATTTCAATGTTTTAATTTAGAATAGTTCAGTTACTTTACTAAACAATGTTGTTTTGGACGGGTAGACATCCGCTCGATTAGCCACGGATAAAGGATCACTTATCAGGACGGGCAGCTCCGACGGTAGCGACGGTATTGCACCAAAACCCCACTTCAATAGCAAGCTTTTAACTATTAATAAAAATAAACCAACAAACAAAAACTACTGCAAAATTGCTCATTTTAATCACTTCGCTTTTGCTATTGGAAAAGCATTTAAAAATTTAAATCGGCACAAAATGAGATTGCACTGTGACGAATGGCACTTTGAGTAATTTCTTTTTGGTTTGTTGGAATAAAAATTAAAACGGTTTCATTTTTTGCCGAAAAATGCATCCAACTTCAAACATAAAATTGTTATGGTATGACTAGTAAAATAAAATTAATTTATGCATTGTTCGGTAATGATAAACCGTACTTTGTAAATGGCAGTTAGAATCAAAGTAAGTACTTACTCGCAAACAAAGGTACGACTGACTTGAGTATTCCACAAAATGTACTTACTACGAAAAGTGGAGTTTAGCGAAAGGGGAAATAATAAATTAAGTTTTGATAGTGGCTCTAACCTAATTACGGTACGTAGGTACACATTTGGGGACGCGTCACCGAACAAACCGCGTTCGCTCCATTAGACAATGTAATTAATACTCGCGGTTACCCCTAATTGTGGTTGACTGATAGTGACGAACGAAAATCGAGTGACGATAGCTCAACAACCGCGCCCACTTAACACACCGTTTCAGTTTGCTTTGGAAACGAAACTAAATTGGTGCTAAATGTATGTACATTGTGACATCATGAATAATGAACTCTGCCACTATAGCCGCGGGGGTAAGGCGTGAATCGGTTTTGTCCATGAACAATATATTGTTCATGAAACATAATGGCATTGTTTTACCTATGTACAATGTAGTATGAGCGTGTAATACAGCCTACAGGCGGCTTTATTGTCGAGTAGCCAAATAAAGCAGAGAGGGCAAACTTTAAAACTAGTCGTCGCGGTGTTGATTGTCAGTGCCTCTTGATTACGGTAAGCAAACTAGCCACAGAACACTAACAAAACAACTGCTAAACAATGTTTGACACGTAACTAGGTGATGCAGAGTGCAGCTCAAGCGTTGTTGACACAGTCTGAGGACTCCAAACAGGAGTGGGCGATGGCACGTGCAATTTTAAACGGGACTCGGACCTCGGTGCAGGGGAACGACGAACTGTTTGTTGGCCGCCGTGAAATTTCTATGAAGTTTGACCGTCACTAGCACAGTGCAAACGAGACTATAGGTAGTTTCAAACTTAGATACAATGTATTTTGTGATGCCAATAGCAATATTTCAAATAAAGCAAAGTTCTGTGAGGCAACAAATGAAATTTCCTTTGATGGTACATTGATCTGTTTCGGGAGATAGTTTTAGTGCTTCAGATTCGTGAGACGCCAGTCGTTCAGTGCAAGTATTACAGACTCGCTCAAGGCGAAGATATAACATTTTTGACGGTTACATTGTTTGAACACGTCCCAGTGTTGACACAAAGACACCGGTTAGACGTTGCCGCAGTGCAAAGTGCAATTTTAAAATGTAAACAAAGCCCGCACCTTGAGTCCATAAACGGTATCTCGGATTTCGCCTTATTGAACCTTGGAGACGAAGTCTTGTCAAGTTTACCTCGTTTACTTATATGAAAAATACGAACGGCTGGTACTGACACGTATTACTTTTTTATGACAATAATTCATGCAAATAGACTGCGCTGTATGAATTTGACAATTATTTATGATATTGGGAGCGATTCATATTTTATTTATTTGCGCAACAAAACGGGTCAAACGAATCGGAAATGCCTGTATTCAGACGGTAATGAAAAAATATTCGAATGTAACATGATGTAATCCGAGTGTGCATATATATCAGGACGAGTGGTGAAAAATCGTATGTGATATAAACAATAGATGGGGACGCACCTCGGACTGTTAATATGGATTGTCTGTGACAGCGTCGGCCACGTTATGGATGAGGCTGGAGTAGCAGGCCGGAGGGCCGCATGAATCACATTGTTATCAATCATAACTTACTGATGGAGCGGCCAAGGTTCTGATTAACGGTCCACGATACAACCACTACACTAATGACTGTCTCACTGTTGCCCGCTCGACTGTTACTAACTTCAAATGATCATCGAGAAATAAACATGTCGTTTGTACTTAAAAAAAAAAATAGAAATATTTACGTTTGGTCTCGGTGCACTTTGCCAAAGTTGAGAATATGTAAGCAAAGTGTACATACGGTATAGGTATTTATATACATTTACATGACTGTGAGTACATGTAGTCGAGCGCATTAAGAGCGTACATTTCGTGTCTGGGCGCATAAGCCGCCTTCTGAAAAGATTTGATGGCGAGGTTAGAGATTTATGTCAAGGATCATAGAGCCGGGATCGGGGGATTTCAGAGCTCCTAACATCCAACTGTGCCCTTTGTGGCTGGAGCACTATCCGGCTTCACTTCACTTTGTACCTCTTACTTGTGCTGCCACTTACCTCGCGGGACGTTTTAATTCCATTTCGAGAAAAAACCGAGTCCGAAACGAGTGCCTACACGGTACCGAGCCGGCTACCGTTCAGTTTGTAAAGGTGGCGTGTCATTAACTCTGTCTAGTGTGTAGTAGTTAGGAACTTACTTAAAGGTTTGTTTGTGATACTTTTAGTTTATTTACTGTCTGTATTTACATGCAAACACCAAAAAACAAAGCAATAAAACTTTCACTGAATTAGAAAATGGAAAAGAATAAAATAAACAATGATTAAGAAGAACATGCCGATTGCATGTAGTATTGCAATAAACAGGAGGGGCAATAAAAATAAATGTAGTAGCCGACATTGTATGCTCGTTAGGTGGCATCGGAGTTACGGACTAGCGAGTTACGACCTTAGACCCCTTAGATCCGTTAACGAGAGCAGACTTATTGCCGTCGCGACCACTGCCGGAACTCGAGTACCAACTAAACCAATGTTATTGCGCTGACACTCGGATTAAAGTACGCTATCCACATTTCAATTACTTTTAAAATACGATTCAATTTGGAAGAAGTGGCCTTTAAACTTTATTCGTTTGTTGTTGATCATTTTGTTTGATGTGAAACATCGATCTTTCATAATTCTTACGATTTTTTTAAGGACGCAAAGATAAGTAATTAAAAGTTACTGATATAAAGTCAATTGTATTAAAATGTACAGAGTAAAATGTAAATGCATGCACAACTCGCATAAAACACAATGTAACAAAATGTAAAAATCAATTTTATCATAATACCAAATAGGAGAACGAGTGAATCCGCGTTTATTACAGCTAAAAATAAAGCCGTATTTGATCCGGCTGCAGCAGTCAGCGCGCCGACACGGTTCCATGCTCGACTCCAATCACGACACAGTTGATGGGACTTAGCGTTGCTAAGTTTTCACCACTATGCTCTGCCGGTGATATCTCAATTTCACGAGGGGTTTCCCCGCTACCCAACATTAATTTGTAACGCTAAGTAATAAGCTGTGAGCGGTACAAGCCCTTAACTGTGATACCTGTGTCATTCAATTGCAACGCGCTACCAGTTTGCAGCTTATACCAATCGTATTAAGCTCCACAGGAATTGGGCGTAAAGAGCGACTAATTAGGACGGATATTCGACTCGCTATTGTAGAATTCATTAGCGAATTGTACCTACGCCGCGAGGTATTACAGACAAATTCGACAAATGAATGGACTAACAAGCACGCTAAAATTATCTTCTGTGCTGTTATTATCCCTGTTACGAATTGTTTTGTTCGTATTCGTACACATGAAACTTCTGAATGTAACAAAAGAAACTTTTGCACGAGTCGTTGCGTACGAATGATAAAAATCAAAAAGCGAAACTCAGTCGCCATCGGTCGGAAACAAAGTTACGTTCAGCGATTCATAACCGTATGGCAACGAAAAAAAACAAAAACTCGATAATTATACTCGTAAAGCGAGTTTGCGGAAGCCGCAAAACGAAATTTAATTTGCCCTGAACGCTGCATCAGAAATAAAGTTAAAACAGTCGCTGCAGTAGGCGGCAGTACGCCCAACTTCTAACGCAAATGAATAGCGAATGGGAAAAGTTGAGCCGAGAAAAATGATGTCCCACTCGGCGAGTCGGGCGCCGACTATTGTCGTGGACTCGCGGCTGCCATGTTGTTTCTCGATATTATTGTTATTAAATGCACATAAACGGTCTGTTGTTGTTAAAGCTTTGTTGTGGGTAAGCCGCGGACAAACGTACACGAAACTTTAATGCTTTGAGGGCGTCCACACTCTAAATGAACTGATGCAGCCGTTTTTTGCGTTTATTTAAACTCCTTTTTATTTACATTTAACATTGTAGCACAAACAGTTGAGTTTTATCGTGTATTTTTTTCAAAACGTAGTGATATGACAAAGTTCTGCAGATACACAGTTCAAGAGAAGTAAATTCGAGGAGTCACTTCATTTCAAGATAGTTCGAGAGTCATTAAAGTGAATGAAACGTGCGGCAATAGGAACTTTGTTTTATGGCATTACTTTACAAACAGTTAAATAAAAACAAAAGTCTTTTCACTTACCGTTTTTGCCGTTTGCGCCGATACCGTGTCTGGATACTGAATGAGGGCTTGGAATGAATCTGTAAACAAAATAGACTCCGGATTAGGACTAATGAGAACTGGGAGTGTTGAAAAAGAACTGCAAAACTCGTTGATCTTTCTTTAAAAACAAAACTTAAATAAATGTTTTCTCGATGTTTTTAGCTCTTCAATTAAAATATAGGGTTGTAGTGTATTTTAATAAAGAGAAATTGTTTTAGTTAAGAAGGTATCGTGATTGAAGTTACATTTTATAAACTTTTGAAAATACTAAGAAGTTCTAAACCGTCTAGACGTCTTAACTGTTGATATTTATTCAATGTAGTTATTTGAAATTGAGTTATTTATTGCTTTATAAACAATATTGTTATAAATATATCAGATAACTTAACACTTGTGATCGCAAAATCAGTTTGTAGTTGAATTTTCGATTCATATCGTAAAAGTAGTAACTTATATTAAGATAACTTGTGAGGCTTGTCAATAGTAGGTACTGCTATATTAAAACTACCGAAGACGACATAATAGTATTGGGTATTGTAAAGTTACATTATTTTTATAACAATTTTCATAGTCGTAAAACAATTTTCTCTAGAGTACTCGAGTGTTGGATGTCTCACGGAATTCCTGACAGGCAATATCTTGTTCACAAGAACGTTCAAACAAGGTGAAATTGGCGCCCAACGTGGGGCGCCCGCGATCCTCGAACTCGTTGCGAGTTAGTCGCAGGTGCACCGCAGCTATTTTATCATCAACACTTTAGCGTATATTTCACTAAACAAGTTTCATGCCTATTTTACTTTCGTCATAAACTCGGAAAGGAAGAATTTATTGCGTCTGTCACGTTGTTTAGCTCGCTCACCTAGTGAAACTTTGATGCGGTGGCGTGTAAAACTGCCTTGTTTCGGGGCTATTGACAATAACACATTGTTACGAGTATTACAGGTATTCTCTGGGGTTAATCAATGACAAAAAAGTCATTAATCACGAAAACGAGTGCGTAAACAACGTAGAAAGTGTGGGAGCACATTTAACTGGAATGGTCCCACAAGTAATATAGTTGGTGGAGTATATTTAGTGCGAGGATAAGCGGTAAACCCCCTAATTTAAGGCATGAGCCGGGCGATCATTGCCGTCCGCTGGGTGAGAACATAAATTCACATTTTTAGGAAACATCGTTCGGGTGGGTAGCACCTGCGTTGGCCACATTACGTACCATTAGACGGTGTGACACAGACTCTGTTTCACTTAAGGCAGTGTTGAGCTCGTTATATCGTTATTCTGAGGTTGCTTCGTTGTTTTAAAACCCCTCAAAGCCGACTTTATGTCCGCCGAATATTTTGATATAAATAAAAGCTAACCTAGTAACACAGGAAAATTTGAGGCCTATTTATTTGTGTATAATGTATCGTAGGTGCTAGCTATAATATAAACAGCAACGAGACAAGTAGCTTTAAAGGACCTTTGAAAATGTTTGTATCACATTGTATCCTCATAAAACTCTAAATTGAATATTACTACTAACAATTTTAATTTCTTTTAACGGAATTGATGAAGATCAGCCCTCATAAAAGGTAATTAAAATTAGTAAGATACTACTACATCGTATAAAATATGGAGCTGCATAATAAACTGATAGTAGAATTTGTTATTCGACTTCTCCAGCACCTCAACAATTTGCCTGCATCTATAAAATATAGAACGCAGACCCACTCAAGGTAGGAAACGACGACGTAAATTAAAAGTAACGCGGTGTCTCCTTCATACATAGTTAAATGCTCTTTAAGGCTCCATATTTTCTTTGGCCCATTTGGGACCGTTAAAATGGAATGCATAAAAGGCTTACCGCAAATTGGACTTTTTATGTAATTACATAGTGAATAAGCAAAAAGTTTTTTTATGAGAACAATGGAGATGGCCACTTGAACGTAATATTTAGTTAGTTCGTATGCACCGAGCTCAAGAAAACAAAGGGAAAATGTGAGTGAGGGTTACTTGGTATTCTGAAAAATGTTTTCACTTTATATAGTGCTACGGATTTTTTTTTTAATAAGGTTGTGCATACCCTGTCTGGATAGACATATATCCTATGCTGTATAAGACATGCTGTTCGATAAAAAGCGCGTGACGTTTTTTATTATTCAGACTCCACTATAAGCATTTAAAAAAAAAACATCGAATCGCTTCTAGATTTAAAATCATCAAAGTAATACTTAAATGTATCACGGAACAAATGTTTATGCAAGTCGTATTATGGAACAAATTAAAAAGTTATTTTCGAAATGTCTTAACATCACAAAATCGATCTTATGACAAAGATTAAAGGTTTAAAAATGGAATCCTTGTAACGAGTACACAAACCTTACAAAGCCGTTCCTCTTTATTTAATTCGAGTAAACAAAAGAGTATGTTACGTGTACCTTGAGATTTTGCTTCATTCCGAATACGTACAAATTGTTATATTTTTTTATTTATTCGTTATCTCTGGTACGTCGAAACACGGGCATGTTACAATTTAGCCCGGAGCTTCTTGCGTATGTTATCGACATATTTTGCTACATGTATTCGTTTGATGTTATAATTTTATTAGGAAATTCGGTTTAATTAGCTGTGTAGGGTTGATTTTGTTACGAACATTACATGTTATGGGAAATGATAATACATTGTTTAACATACTTTTGTTGTACGTTAAACGTGTTTACGAAAATACGTTCAATATAATTAGATCGTATATTTGTTTTTCCTGCTTAAAATTTATAGGTAAATATTGAATAACTTGGCGTATATATAAATATTTACTTAAACACGCACAAAATTATAACTTGAATAAACTTATTTAACTTAATCAATTATTCGTACGAACAATAAATATGAATTTAAATCAAACCCATTCTCAAGCTGTTGACACAAAAAGTTTTATGCACTTTAGCCAGTTATGAAAATTGAAGTTTCCCAAAATAATTGTGCCCTTTGCTCTGTTTTATTTATCCAAGCTGAAATATTCAAGCGCTAATTCAATAACGTTGCTTGCGGCTCCGATTGCGCGCAAGAAATTCAAATCTCAATCAATCCGTAGCGTACGCGCCGCTTCATTATGTTTCATTAAAAATTCAAGCCGAATGCGCAATTACTTTATGGAATATTTAAACGTCAATGTCTGCCCAAAAACAAGATGGGAGTTGTGGTAAAATTAAAATTTCGTAATCCACGTTTCGCTGTGTAGCAAAGAGGTGGCTTCCGCTATGTTAATATTAAGCGGTGGGGCAGGGCGGTGCGCCGGCCGACCGATTACAGTATAATTTGATATCTTAAATCTTCTCGACGGCTCCCCTGAAATGAGCGAGCTCTGTCAAGCTTGAATGCGTCCTCGTTCGCAATTTACGCGCCTTTTCAACTAACCTTCGCCCCGACACTCGGATACTACTTGCGAATTGCTAAATACTTGTACTGTACCACCGTTAGCAATGGTGCACTTAAACTACAAGAACACATTTAGGTTATTCCTTAAAATGTTACGTCAGCAGAATCAGCTACGGCGCGTTGGTATTCACCGAAGTATGTAAATAAGCTCCAACTATGTTTCTGCGAAAACTAAGACGCCGCAAAGATGATATCTGTAGACGAATCAAATCCTTAATTAAGGGAATCTAACGACGACATAGACACGACACCTACCGCAAACAGGGGACGCATAATAATTGTAGCGGTCTGCTACACCTTAATAAAGCCAATAGGGGCAGGTTGCGGGGCAAGGGCTCGAGGCAGGGGGGAGGTGTAGGATTACGGCGACTCCGCGCGCTCTTCATTGAGATTTGTTTCGGGATTAGGAACGCGTTTGATGGTAACCTCCCGTCAGCCGTGGACGACGCGCCACCAGACGAACCAAATCGCTATTATAAACGTCCCTCTTCGCCGCGTTTAATATTAACACGATATAAACATAGCAGAATATTCATCAGGCAAACTTCGAAGAAACTCATGAAAGTAACACGCATGAAACAACATGAATCAAAATTCGGTAACAACTTCTATGCGATTAATGTTATAAGAAAATTGTGGCTTTACCAAACGAAGACGTCGGATGTGTAAATATACTCGTAAATAAATGCGGAATATTAAATTTCCGATGTTGGGAAACTCACGTGTGCTCACGGCGATAAGGATACCTGACAAGCCCTTCAATTTTAATCTGCTCAAGCGATGACTTATACGAATAATTCAGGATATGCGATTGAGCATCTTAATAGGAAAAAGTTATGTATATAACTCCGCCGCGACGGAGGAACTTGAAAAATGATTATGTAAGCATTTTGTAAAAGGCAGGAATATTATAGGCATAAATATGAAGAATACGCTTTATGTAAATTTCGTAACAGGTAAGAGGTAAGTACAATATATACCTAGGTACTGGTACGCAAGTTTAGGCAAGTGTGTGACACACAGAGGGCATTGAGAGCGAAAATGAGAGCGATATACCAGTGTGCTCTATTTGCTCCCTCACGAAACAGGATAATTGAAATAAGGATTTATACGTTTCGGATATGCAACCTACTTCAGTTCGTGTCTAGTAGGTATTCGATGCGATTGTGATCGATTATGAGATTACATACATTCGCCATACCATAACTATATTAATACGGAATAGGCGAATATGTTTAGATCCAATCTAAATTAAGTACCTATACTTAGCTTCAGCCAATCGCACAATATCGACTAATCATTGAAGGAGTACGTGTCTGTTGGTGCTATTTACAATATATCTTAAGCACAATGTACAGTCCAATATATAAGAGTTAAACGTCCAGTCAGGTGCCGTTATGAATATTCAGAAGTTGAATAGGTGCCGGGAAATTGTTCGGAGACAAAAGCTTTTACAATTGGACAATGATGAATGTAGTAAAAAAGCAAACAGCCGCTCGGAAAGGTGGACGTTCGGAAATTGGAATAGCTGCATTAGGGCGATGTCATGATATTGATAAGTTATGAGCCTGAACTGCTTATATTCGTGTTATAGTACGTGTATCGAGATATTGAGAACAATATAGATTAAACGTAGGTAATGGTAGGCTATTGCGATTTTCGTTTGATAGCTTTGAGAATATTAATTTGTAAAGAATGACTTTGGTTCAAAATTCACTTGATAGATTAAATTGAATATTAGAACAAAGTTGAAGCACGGTTGGCGCGGTGGCTCGGCAAATGGCTGCCGCGCAACGTGTCGCGGGTTCGATTCCCGCACGGAACAATTGTTTGTGTGATCCACAGATTGTTGTTCCGGGTCTGGGTGTCATGTGTATGTGAACTTGTATATTTGTAAACGCACCCACGAAACAGGAGAAAATCCTAATGTGGGGCAACGTTTAAAAAAAAAACAAAAAAAAGTCTCTGTGATAGTTATCATAGAGACTTCAACTTTCCAAATAAGAATGTATAACTTACATTATAATTATAATCCATACCTTAATGTGTCACAACCTAAAATAAATGTATAGTTTGACTTATCAAGTAGAAGCTTCTAGTTGGAAATAATATATTCTTTTTTATAGGCGCTAACTTTAAATACAGTTGAAGCATAAGATACTTAGCTCATTATAAACATTTCTTTAAAGTGGTCTGTAGTAGTTACATGTTAGCCAGTTCCCAAAATACTAGGGCGTAATTCACCTCTGTCTACCCAGACCCACGCTATGAAAACAATCGTGTTTTAATAATCCTCTTTTAAAACCTTAATTTTGAGGTCATGACCAAGGTCAAAAGCATCTCAATCCCGAAGAAAATTAACAAAGTAATACCTGGTGTTTATTTTATGAAAAAATGGTTTCAATATTACAAATTAAATGTTAATCATTGACGCTAGAACGGCGTCCGAATCGACTTAATTAATAGAGGGACCGATAAAAATTAATTACTCAAATTCTTTTTTACGATTTCATTGCTCTATGAGAATTCATCTATCATTAATTTCAGTAATCGGATCTCTAGAGGTATTTCATAATTGAAGATCGTAAATTATAGTCTTCATCAAAGAGATTATTTAAGCTTATGTGTATACTATTTTATTGCTTTAATTATAAATTTCGTTACTTATCTTCCTTGTAGACTCTTGTTACAAGATCTAAGTATAAATAGTATAAATTTGAACAGAGTAATCATTGTTTGCGGAATGTGCTGATAGTGTAAGGGTCTCTTGTTGGCTTGTGTTGACAGGGCAATGTGTAGAGGCATCGTACCACTTCCTTTGCGAAGCTCGGCCTGCAATAGTTACTTCTACGGTACTCTAGAGAATTGCATCTGTAGCTCGATCAGTATACATAGGGTTCCACGGCGATATTAGTTACAGAGGACCAAACTCGAAGCCCAAGACCAACTCCTACCTATATTGGTAAAGCAAATTTATATTATCCGCCTGGCCCTGTTCCTTGTATATTATACAATGTCAGTCTTAGCAACTCGAAATTATTTTTTTATTACATCATTCAATTTGAGATAATTAAGAAAAATTGTCGTCAAAAAATAAGCTTGAAATATTGTTTTAGCTTTCAATTTTCGCGCTCGGCTGAATAATTCTGCGGGTGTTGCCCAGCGGGGTTTTTAAATAAAGTTGATTTGAGGTTTCTCGACTAGGTACTGTGTAATTAGCCAAGAGTGAACTGTAATGTCGGCACTCTGTACCGGCGCGCCGCACGCTGCCCGCGGCTCAGGGGAGCTTATCAAATATGTACCTACCTACCTGCCTCCTGTGTGCCGGATTTATTTAGGATATGCATGAGGGTACGATTTAAATTTTAAACGGATTGCGCCCTTGGATTTCGGCCCTGTGTTATGTTTGGTAAATCTATCACTATAACACGTCCATCCGAAATTAATTTTAAAGCTCGCCTCGTTTCGATTCAATAATAGTTGTTTTAGCCGCTGTAATCCTGGGTAGCCATAGACACAAAGCGATTGTGACAAAAGGCTTATTAAACAATATATTTGAAGCAAATTGCAGAGCGGTTGCATAATTAATTAGGTGGATTTTGTTGGAAATTGTGTTAAAACAAACGGAAGCCTCCTGAGGTGCGGTGTGTGAGGGAGGTATCATGTGAGGGTGCGTGAGGCGTGCGGTAATGTTTCTTATTCCTCCCTTTTCCTTTTTCATCAGAGGCTCTCACACGCGCTCGTCAACGTTCTGAGGCTCATCCATCAAAATTGCGTTCGACGCTGAAGATGTAACTGTCTTCCGCAAACATTACGAATATGCATATACGTAATTATAATCCGTAAATTCAACCCTACGTGTGTTTGTAATTTATATCAACGAGAGCAAGTAGACACGTGTATCAAGTAACTATGGTAAAAGTTAATGTACTTACTATTTTTAGTGAATGTGACGATCTTCAGCACCTTGCCGTACCGTTGGAAAATGGAGTAGAGTACGTCGAGCACGATCGGATATAGCATGTGTTCGATAATCACGCGCAGAACTGTGTTGGGACCACCCTGGGAACAAAGAATTAATTAGTTAAATATCTTAGAAAACACGGTAACCAAGGAATAAACACAAAACACGATAAACAAGTTCTTGGTTTATTATTTACGTAAAATATTTGGTTAAATTAATTAAATAAACAAACAATAGGCGGTATCAATTCCAAGGTAATTAAGAACAAAGTATAATAACAACGTACTTCCCGGAAAAGTGGTTAAATAACATTAATTAGTGCTTATGAGAAAAGCTTATCAATAATTAAATTCCCCACAGACACTTCGTGAGTGAAGCTAAGACATATGAAGCAGGTAAAGTCAGGGGCGCATTGAAGAGCGACGCGATACTGTCCAATATGTCTTTGTTATGAACCCATTGGGTATATGTGAGATGTCAGTGTGATATTGCATTAGACATGAATATGCGCTCTAAACACGAGGGAACTAGTTGTTTTGTTCAGTGAAGATAAATGTACAGACGACATTCTTTCAAGGGGGTGCGAGCTCTCGAGCCCCGAATAAAGATGTCGGCCTAGTTTGGGTGTCAATAAATAATAGGGTTGTTTCTTTGATCAAAAATGTCTATTGTCTCATGTCTTGTAAAATGTGTTCCACAAAAAGAATGATAAAACGATATTTAAAAATATGTCCCTAAGATTCTTTTTATATGAGTATGTTTTTTGGACACATAACTTGAAGTTAAACCTACTTTACATCAACTAACCTACTCAACTAAATATTTTTTTCTAGACAACAGTTAGACTTACACGACTATCTTCACTTCATATAAGAAAACTTAGTTTAAGCAATGTGTAAGAGACAATCGCCACTCAAGTTGCAACGTGCGGTCGGTAAAGTATATTGACCGATGCAACTGCATGATCCGTGCCCGTACCCTCAGGCGACAATCTGTCGGACGTCTTAAAGCAGTCTATCTGCATGCTCCTCGACAACACGCCACGTCTTAGTCCAACCTCTAGAGAATACCCAAACCTAATTTGTGGACCAAGTTCAGTGTTTAATATTTAAAGGTCTTTGTAATCGGCTCTATTTCAACGGCTCATAATTATATTGGAATTTCTATATATTATTATACAGAATATTACTTAGACAGTGTTATGTATTGGGAAAGGTAAGATGATTAATGGATAAAGGTGAAATTAATTATGTATAGTTTTAAACACTATTGTTAGAGATAATTATTTTGGGTACGTTAGGGTATTAGATGTGAATAATTTGTATTTAGTGTTTAGGTACGTAAACATTTAGGTAATACCTATTGTTATAAGTCTGACATGAAACAATTCTAGAAATGTTCTTGTCATAGCTGATAGTGTTCATGAAGTTTTGTGTTTTCATGAAATATGATCAAACAAACAACCACATTAAAGAAGTCAAATGAGTTCAAGGATCATAAGATCATAAGCAACAATGAAGAATGATAGGACACTATATAATGTTTTATTAACTTATACTTAAGGTTGTTTTTACCTGTATTTCTGTGCCTCCATTCGCGGGCTGTAGAGCCGCACCTGCGCCGGCTACGAGCGCTGCGCCAGCGCTGTTGGAGATAGCCTGAGCTGCTTGTAACGCCGCCTGCGCCGATGCTGACTGCAAAAATATTACCTATAAATAATAGGTAAGTGTACACCGACGGTATGTGCAATAAATTCTAGCTAAGTTCATCATACACCATAAAAAGTTATTTTAAGTGAATTTTAAGTTATTAAGGCAAATCTAAACATAGAATTTCTGATACCTAAACAGCGAGAGCGAATCACATCTAAAGGACATACAAAATGTGTTAATTCCCACAACTCGGAAGGTTCGCGTCCTTCAGTAAGTAAAAACATTCATTGTCACGTAGAAAAAAGTATGTACAAACAACAGCCCTTCGCTCTCATAATTTCGCGAACAATGAAACGTAATAGGGGAGTGGACAGTTATCTGACGCACGCGTGAGGCACCTTCGAGTGTCCAAGACCAACAGATAACATTGACCACATCAAACAAAGGGGGGTCATAAACAGTAACTTATTTTGTATCGTCCACGAACAATTCGGTACTTTGTTGCGTCGTTATATAGGGGCGGACGGCATTGTGGAAAGCGACAATTTGAACGCTTAGCGAGTTAGATAACATTCATACATTGCCCATATAAATGACGGGTTTTTGATAAGTTTTTTGACGAATTTATGATGTGCATAATCCGAATACTTGTTGTGACTTTATTACGTATCTTTCTATTAAATTTGTAATTCTAATAAAATAAAATGTATTGTTGAAATAGTACCAAAACAAAACAAATACAAAGATGAATGCTCAACATTTCAGTTGCAATCTACAGGTAAAAAATAAACCAATATCCACGTGAAAAGCCTTCAACACGATCTACGTCAGGTTCAAATAAAAAACGTAATGACACGCGAGTGAAATACAGCGTGTTGTTTACACGTTACGATCGCATGCAAGGGCGCGGCACACTTTGATCCTATATTTTCACATGGCTTTGTGCGACGACGGGCTGACAAGCGGCCAGGCCAGACACAAAAATAAGGCTTTAACCGTGTCATGGTAAGCCTGCCGCCGACGGCAAAGGCTCTGGTACAAATTCACGTTGACTTGTTCCCCCTCACTCCACTTTTTCTCTGTTACATGTTCTTTGATATGTCTATGTTAGAACAAAATGTGTGTTTTAATAACAGACGGCCAAATATGCTACTAATATTAAATAAACGGATTTTCGTATATTCCCCGTATCCATTTATGGCGAGAACTATTTTTCCTCGAATTTAAATCTCAAAAGCAAAAAGTCCGCATAAAACGAACACGCAACAAAAGAATTTTAGGAATGCGATTCTATCAAAAATATTTTCCGTGTCACCGGCGCTCGCTATGTTGAAGTTCGAAGATATTTAAAAGGTCTTATTCGGGAGACGCGCAATCTTTCACAGGCGACCACTGGCAGACATCGGTCGTCGAGGAGACGCGACAAAATAACTCCATCCGCACTACGAGAGTTCTATTCAACGACCACAAAAACCTTTTGCGTCGCATGATTGATCAAAGCTTTGCGTTCAATGCACGTTCTTTAAAATGCAGTTGGGCGACGTCATTCTCCAAGTCTGCAACGTTCAGGAGACAATTCTGCTAATGCGATTAAATTCGGATATTATGCTCAGTGATGTAATAACGTACCGAGCGTGTCATTTCATGTGAATCACAAGAACAAAGCCTAGTCTGTCTATTCGTAACAGCCTCGTTATAAGTTTTAATAGTGTGCTACAAAGAGATTCCGAAATGTGACGAGACTGCGATAAATCTTTATAGTCACATTATCTGTGTGTAGTTATACGTAGTGTCATGACTCGAACTTGTATTTTGTTGTAAATGTGTTGTAGATTATTCATATAACGGGATGGTGCACTTATGTCAAAGTTTTATGTATCATCATTTTGATTCTAGAGGTATGTCGTGAAATATTTAAGTTTATGTAAAGTTGTTATTACCACTCTGTCGCGTTATTTTAAACTAGAGGTATGTACTACAAACTATGTAAAACACAATACCGTTCGAATAGTAGAATCTTTACAAAAAATATATTATTTTAAAGACCTATCTATTGCAGCGGTACAAAGAAACCTCAGTAAGTACTAAAGGTTTAAAAGGTACATGAAAAATGTGCAGGGAATAAAGTCGACGGTAATGGTAACGAGTTCTCGACTCGACGAAGTCACATCATTATGAGGTATCGAACAGATGACGCTACGTCAAATAATATTCGTGCTTCCTAGGCACCGAAATAAGGACTCCTTTTTCAAGAGAAAATTTAAGAGTATTCTTTTGGCAGATGGATAGTTTTTGTTCCTTTGTTTTTTGTGGTCGGAAAAGAGTGATGATTTCTTTTTGAAATTATCATGTACATAACATTCTACACGATAATTTTAATTAGAAAATGACGTGATGTGAATATGAAATTTAGTAATAGACTAATACAAAATAACCTAAATATATTTAATGTACTAAGCCATAGAACAGAGAAACCTAATCACTTTGTAAATAAACAGCTGCTTTCAAATTTCTATCCTAAAATTTCGTTTGATTACCCATTCCCGAGAACTATCAAAGACCGAATAACCACACCTACTTTAACCGAATTTTGTGCCCAGAGTATACCATAATTCGGGTAAGATGTTATATAGATCAATATTTACACGCCACTACAGAGGAAGAGGGATTAACGCAAACAGATAATAGACACCTAGTTGTATCCGTTTTGAGTTTAATCATCACATTAATTAGCCACGTATTGACACAAACGCCTGTTTGCGATGCCGACAATTAGATCAAACAACCTGCAACTATTTAATAAACAATGTATCGCGAACATTATTTAATGTTACAATAATCATGTTGTGTACATATTTGTGAAGAGCAAACTTGTGAATAAATGACTAGTTCAGACTTATTAATACACCTTTAATATGTTAATATTAATTGTAAACATGACAAAAACTGTGTTGATATTTTTCTTGAATTCTTCTGTGGTCATGAAATTATTGTGAAGCCGCAAATAGGGTAAATTATGCTATTAGTGTCAAATTATTATTGTGTTGTAGACAATCCGGTGGGTACATATTCCCGGTGGTCCGGCGCCAACCCTTGCGCATGTTATCGAGTGCCATCCCCTCAATTATGGCAACACAAATTTAGGCAAGAACAATTTCTCAATATTATCAGCCATCAAAATGGTTGAGGGTTTGTTTTTGATAGGTTTCGTGGATAAACGAAACTAATTAAGCGTTTTAATTAATCCTCCCATTGGGTGTTTTGTTACCGAAAATATTGATTTCCTTTCTTATTGCCAGGAGGCTCCGGTAAGAAAGGTTCACTCACAAATGTTCGGCATTTATCTCCTTTTTTACCTAACGTTATCCCGAAAACCTTATTATGGAGGGTGGCTCGATGCGGCGAGCATTGCTACTTGATTCTTATAGTGACAAATTGTGCCACAATGGCAATATACGAATATTGATTTAAGCTTTATTTTTCAGAAGAAATATATTATAGGAAAGCCCGGAACTTGTATCGCGTTTAGTAACAAACTAGAGGATAGAACTAGCTAACTAACGTTTTGGTGCGGTTAACTGAGCAGATTCAGCGACATAACCTGTCTGTAGACACAAATAAGTTCCTAAAGGGTTAGTTACCAGTTTAACCAGAGTAAGTTTAGTTTCAAGTTGGCGATCTATTCAGTGTCTATTTGATTACAAGAGGTTATTGAGGGGCATAAACGATGTTATAGTTGAAAATGGCCGTGTTCGTAATTATATCGTGGGTGTAATAAAAAAATATTATAAAGCGGACTAAAGCAATCAACACGACACGGTGATATTGAAGAGTTGAGCATATTTTTTAGTACTCGAAGATGTTAAGGGGAAACGTTAATTACAGAGAGCTGATGGAGTGACATTCTATTAAAGATGGAGAACAATTTTATCTCCGACATGAATTTTATCTCTAAGATAAGATGGTTTTATTATAAGAAAATGCAATTCTCTTTATTAAATTATTTTGACGTTTTATTTGACAAGTTTACAAATGCAAATTGTTGTTTACATACTCTGAAAGTGAAACGTAATATCGAAAGTTGATTAAAGCTAGCTAAGTTGTTTTTCGTATTTAGAGCTTTATGTTGACTATGTAATTATTTATTATTGCGATGTTATCTTATCAAATAGAGAATGTCGTTATAATGTAACATCACAAATCATCAAGAGACCCCATAGTCCCATATGAACAATATAATCGCGCCAGTTCGCACTGATTCGTCCATTTACGAGCGTTTACCCCATAAACGGGGCAACTTTTCGTGAAATTATTCAGCAGTCACGACACGCACGGTCGGTATCACGACAAATGTATAGACAGAAATGTAATAGTTTAGTAACTCAATCAAATCGGAACAACGTCGGCGGCTATGTCCCGTCGCGGCATGCGGGTTTATTGAATACCGTTATCTAAATTGTGGGGTCTTGATGTTCCCAACAAAGATTAAATTAACAGGTCGAGTGCAGGCCACAGCCGGAGGGTGTTTCCCAATTGTAACATCGGCCTTAATGCCCGATCGCATACCGCACGATAATCCCGCTGTTGTGTAATAGGGCTAATTGAACTGTCGTTACGTTATTACGTATTGAGTGTCCGCGTTTTGTGCCTATCGAACCCGTGAGCGTAATCCTAATTAGTTGATGTTATGCCCTATACATTAATAGGTTTGCCGAGTCTGTGTAGCTGCAACTGTTATCCCTTCTAATTAAAGTGGGCATCGTGTTCATCTAATTATCGCTATGAGGGTTGAATTTACGGTTGGAGCTAGGTGTATGGAAGATAATGAATTTCCAAACATTAGTATGACAAGTACCATTTTGCTTGTAGAAATATCTGTTATTTTAGTCGACTTTTCAAACACTCATGACTTACTTTAATAACAAATGTACAAGTGTACTTACGGCATTGCTGTGTGTTTGATCGGTCTTAAGTTCCTTGTGGTTGGAGAACTGCACGTAGACGGCTCGGCCGCGAAGCTGTGCCACGCAGCCGCCGAAGTATGCCACCATCGCCACTGCCGATATCTCCTCCGCCATTTCGAGGAATGCCTAGAGAAAAGGTTAAACATTAGTAGTTGTTCACAGCTAAGGTGTTAAAGCTATTACATCATTATAAAAGTTTAATCCTAAGCTACGAGCTAAACCTAAACAGCACCAATTCTAATCATTTAAAAAATAAAAGTGTATCAGATAGTGGAGTATCGGACTCGACAGAATAGTTCCCAACTCTTTTGTTTGGTCGTTAGACCATACAAACTGGCTCGGTTCGTAGAAATAAATCAAATGTTTAACAGCGGTAGTGTAATGCGGCGCACCCTAACTAGGTTTGTGTTTGGCGGGCCTAGGGAGTCCAATTAATCGGATCCGATCCCCGACCATACATAAACCTACTCAAAACACAGTGACTGATCCCCATGTAGTCTGCATCATTCTATAAAAGCGTTATGATTTCAATAGCCATTTTGTTCGTAAATTCATCTATTCGACGTCGTTTTCAAACCGCAGTATCCTGTTTTTGGCATCGGACAATACGAAACTCACCGCTCTTTGTGTGTGTGTTATGCCGCAAATTAAATAGAATACTTGCCCGGGGCTAATTAAAAATATTCCTATACACGGCGATGAAAAGCGGCCGAGGTCAGCGGAATATTCAGACGTGGCTTTGTACAATACAAACTAAACTGTTTACGTACTGTATTTTAGCTGTATTTGCTTTAGTATTATTGGATAAACAATCGATTAAATATGTGTACAATGTACTTCATAAACAATCATAATAACATATTATTTTGTTACACAATTAGTAAGTTCTCAAAATGATAAACAATTACATTGTTCAGTACTTATAAGATCCCAATTTACTTGATAAATCGCGCTTAAGTATAGTTCAGTCACTACATTTTTTTTTACAAAATAACAGAGATATAACGATATTTAAATAAAATTTAAAATTTAGTAGCCTTTCAGTATTCGGGCGTAAGTTATTAATTAATTATGATAAAGTACGTATGCGTAAAATAACTCTGATGAATTTCCAAAAAAATAATAGACATCTCATGCTATCGAAATGTTTGGGATCAAAATCGATGCAGCACAAATTAATAGAAGCGTAGCTGTCACGCGAGCGACGATCGTAAAATAGTGTCAACGCCTCTTTCGCTTTAATCACCGAGAGTGGGGGCGATTGTCCGCACCCACTCACATCGATGTTTGCCCACCTCTCCACAGATGGCGCCTTTGTAACCGGACTCTCACAGGTTCGGTAACCATCAACTACCAACGATACTTTTCATCATCCACTCTGAGTGCGTCAAAGGACTAGCGTCGACCACGTTCGGTACTTTACATTGATTAGTTTCATATGATCTAACAGTGTGTTAACGTTACCAAAAGATTTTGTACAACACTTTTATATATTTTGCGATATTCAAACTACTAATACATGTACTGTTAATAAATTTTCAAGCCTGGCTTATTTTATAAAATAAAACTTAAGTTAAAAATAAATTCAGTACTAGCCTAGTTTGAGGACACAAAATATTTCTTCTAAAGAGGTTGTGACCGTTCATAAAAAGGGATTCGACTTGTTTCTCGTGGTAGAAGAGAGATTGTTTTCCTTCGCGGCACGCTTTATACAGGGTGGATGTCATACGAGCTATTTATTAGACGGGATAACATTGTCGCGGCTGCCTCCTGCGTTCCCGTAATAGGATTTTCTTTTATTATTTTATTTCTCGGTTGTAAACTAACTCATTTTTAATTTGTCAGCGGGAAATCGTAAATTTCTCATTGCACGTGCCCGGTGGGTGTTTCGACGTAAAATACGCAGTAAAACCGGCTGGATGTCGCCTTATAACCTGCTTGTACTTCGCGCTCGCGTGATGATGTGAACATACTTTTTGATGGATTACTAACTGCACCTCGGCAACTTGTTTCTGGACTTTATGTACCCGCGTATATTCCACACTTGAGATAATAGTCCTTTTTCTTTTATAACAGTTTAAATATAGCCCGCCAACCAGCGGATACAGAAATGTAATAAAGTATGATCATAAAATATCATTCGGAGAGGTCAATCACGGCAAACGTATCTCAATCTACACTCATTCATGAGCCCTTCTCGACCCAAATTGAAATTTATATTAGATGTCATCGCCTTTAATTTCCGCAATGTACAATTTTAGATGCAATCTCTCCCTTGGGTTTCAATTCACCAAGTGTACTTTTAAAAATAAGCTGGTAAAAATGAGGAAGAGGCCTAAAATGTAAGAGTGAATATTTGTTCCAAATTCGCCGTTCATTTTGACCCCGCAATAGATAAACGTCGCTCGTTTGACGGGGGTTAGTAGGGATGTCGATCATACTAAAATTGCTTTCCATCGTCGGGGTAACATTTTGTTTTAAAATATACAAAGCGTCATTTATCGTGCGTCTTCAATATTTGGGTTCGTTTTTGTTGTTTGGTAAGGGAAATATTAAGAGATATAATGTGGGAAATTTTGTTCTACGACTTTTAGAAGTGTTGAAGAATTATTCGCTAGTAGGGCGATGATTACATCTTCTTTGTCAGTGTTCGACATGGAATAATGGATCATCTCAGCAATAGTCATTAGCGTGGCATCGGGCAAATCCTCATCAGTCATCCTTTGTCTCCTAATACTGCAGTTACAATAAAACATGGGTAGGGGTAGGCTGCGACAATGCTTAGCGGCCTATTTGCGGACAAGCCGTGCCTGCCACTTGTTGTGCTTCCGGCGGAGGCGAGCGCCATTGTGCCTAGAGTAGCTATATGGCCGACTTCATTTGTTAAATGAGGCCTGATCGGTTACGTGGTCTGAGTTTGGGTAATCTGCCTTAGTGGCTGACGGGAACTGTCCCAAACTTAAACTTAATTACGGACACATTTAGTTTTCAGACCAGCATTATGAAGATGAGATGAATAGAAATGTTGTCTGGAGTGACTCCATTATGTGTAGACAGTTAAGGGAATTCAAACTAAAATGTCATAGTCATACCACATCACATGAATATTACAAGTAAGTAGTCAGGTTCCTATAGAAGATAGTATCTATAAATTTCTCACTTTCATGTAATCACGTAATACCTAATTGTGTCAAACAAGTGGTCCCTTGTTACTCGAAATCTCTTACATTCAAATTCAGTAAGTACCCTAATTAAAAGGATTACCTTTACAAACCAATTTACCGAGAACAAATGTAGTATCTTACCTGGTTTTTGCCTTTAAGCACGAGTACATTAGTGACCCTGCCGAAGGGTAGGCCCAGTTGTATGATCTCGGCTTCTGTCGTCTCGTTGGGTATGTTCCGTATGTGGATGACCCGCGACGGTTTGCCAACATTCTGTTCAAGTTTCACCTGCGGAATAACAACAAAATTTTAATTAAAAGAGAACAAACATCCAATATTTTCTTTTTGGTAAAGAATTGATTCCAAAATATGAAAAGAATAATTGAGAGCAAAAAATGTTATTCGTAGTGTTCTTTAGACGCGATGATCCGTAATCAAATAGCGTTCGATTCCGGCGGAACAAACGCGAATGTAAAAGGCACACAGCGTACAAAATGACCGTTCTAATATACATAAATAAAGCTAGCATTGTTCGCGAGGAAGAGCCGGTTGGATAATTGAAAAGTCGATGTAGTATAATTGTCGAGGCTTATCGGGCCCAACCCCGATGTGGGCGCCATTGTTCCCGAGAGAGCCTTTTGATTACGGCGGCGGGCTCGAACCGAGTCCCGAATATATTGTAGCTTTGTATGACACTTCACTTTTCATTGAAGTGAAAAGAGCAACCCTCACTGCGCAATTTATGATTGGAAAATTCATAAACAAATGATAAAACAATCCAATTCACACAAACAACTTAAAACTGTTATAAAACAAGGTTATCAAATGATTCCACAATTATAATTATGTTTTCGAGGAAATCTTCCCAGATATTTCAGTTGGAACAACGAATAAGATTTGGGGAGTTGCGGGGTATCTAACCGTCTCCCTTTTTACGTTCTTTGGCGGGCGGCGAAGCGTGGAGGTGTAACAAATGAGTCTAATGCCTATTAGTTCGACCTTGTTAAGTTTAGACAAAGTGAGCAGCTGCTCTGACAAAAGTGCAGGGAAAACTCGAAACGAACTATGCTTTTGTGGCAGTTACATTACGAATCTCTGACATAAAGCGATTGACTTTTTAATTACTTAGCACTTCACTTTTAAGCTTAAGACTGATTGAAAGTTTCCGCGACTAATTTTGCAGGTATTGGGGTTTTGAAAATTAATTAATGTTAAAGAGTCCAGGTATATTTATTTAAACGGAACTGGTGCTACATTTAAAATCAAAGATCAAATCGGATCCGAACTCAAGGCTTAGAAATAACACTAACTATACAAATAATACAATACAGTTCCGTTAAATAAATATTGATACGGTCCCTTAGCTAACCAAAAAAATACAATCGGATGATAAAATCTTTACAAGAAAAAAAAAACAAAGAACTAACTAAAAGAAAAAGTAGGTACACAGATATGATATTTTTGAACAACCGAATTTCGTTAGAATCGACATCAAAAGAAGCAAATCTCCGTAAATAAACAAATAAAAAAATATTTTTCCAAAGTGACTTGTAAAGGGAGGAATAAATCGTCGCACACGCTCGCCCACCTCGAAGGTACATTTCGGTATTTTCTCTTCTCACGAAAGAAAACAACTGGTACGTAAAACGTAAAGAAGGACATTACTTTCGCTGGGTCAGAAAATCTGCGAGGAACGATTTCCACATCAGGCACTTTAAATCATCCGCTTCGTCTCACATTTCATCCATAAATATTAAATCTTGGCTTGGTTCTTTGGATAGAAAAAAAGCTATCGTATGACATTTTTCCTGTGAGGATTTCCCGGAATCGGTCAATTTTCCCGATGATCGCGCCGGCCGTGTTTATTGAAACACTATTTCTCAGTTGGCCGCGTCTACGATACCATATCATTAACTATAACAACGTCCACACTTATGCTTGCGTCTACTTTGACCTATCAACACTATTTTATTGCATACATAGAATAAATAACATTCCATTCTAAGTTATTACAACTTTCACGTAGTATTTTCTTGTGTACATTAAACTCAGGTGCAATATAAATTAAGATATTAAAACCGGGTATCGAGTAACATAATCTTGCTATCTAAAGTACTGTCGTAAATTGATAAAATAAGAGGAGATTTGCCTTCACTACCGTCCGGACTACAAGTATTTTCAAACTTGTTTACGGTAAAATTATTGAGCTGCAAATTGTGTACCACAGCTTAGCGTTATGTTAAAAAGAATTACAGCATTTGTCCGTGCTGTATTAAAGGTTTAAGATATTATATACATATATACATATTTTTATACAAATGTTTTCTTTGAAAGTATTTGCATTACGTAATAATAATAAATAATAATAATAATAAATAATCTTTATTGTACACCAATTTGAGACAGTACATCAAGGAACAAATAAAGAAAATAGGGTACAAAGGCGGCCTTATCGCTAAAAGCGATATCTACCAGGCAACCTTTGGGTGGATAGAATAATAAAGTAGGATATTAAATGAGGTAGTTATAGCTTGGCGTACTCAGTGCTTATTTATATAATGTAAAAGAGTAAACATTAAAAAACAAATTTATTTACTTTTAATATAGAATTATATACTTACATACACACACATACATACATACATACATACATACATACATACATACATACATACATACATACATACATACATACATACCTACATACATTCATACATATATACATATACTAATACATACATAAGTACATTTAGAAACAAGATACAATGACAGATAGGTGACACTAGGTGAAGAAACAACAATGAACTACAGTGTGGAGAGATAATGCTCCCTCACGCGTGCCTTGAACGTGACCAGTGACTTTGCTTGTTTTATGGAAGGGGGAAGTGCATTCCACAGTCGAATAGCTCGAACTGTAAACGATTTGTCGTAGGATTTACTCTCATGCTGGGGCATCTCAAGTCTCAGATCTCCCGACGACCGTACTGGTCTAAAATGTGTGTCATGGTAGAACTTGAAACGTTCTTTAAGGTAATATGGCGTAGTAGGATTAAACAGTATATTGTAGAGAAGGGATAGGATATGAGTATTCCGGCGAAGGCGGATCGGCAGCCACTTGAGTTTAGCTCGGTATTCGGAAACGTGGTCATATTTTCGTAAGCCAAATATAAACCTTATACAGAAATTTTGGAGTCGCTCAAGTTTATCTAACTGCGCTTCAGTAAGGTCTGGATAGCTGACGTCGGCATAATCAAGAATGGGAAGGAGAAGTGATTGAGCAAGCGCAATTTTGGTAGCGGTTGGTAGAAAGTTTCGAAGTCTACGTAAAGACTTGGCTGACGCAAATATTTTCCGGCTGACCTGCCCCAGTTGCGGTCCCCAAGAAAAGTCTCGATCTATGGTAATGCCTAGATCTTTCACTGAGTCGCTGTATGGTATTATGGTACCGTTAAAAACAATAGGTGGAATCTGCGACCATGTAATTTTGCAACGTAACCGAGGGCTACCGACTACAATGACCTGGGTCTTCGCAGGGTTAACCTTTAAACCGTAAGCCGCGCTCCATTCTGAGATTCGAGCTAAGTCGGTATTCACCATTTTTACCGCCTCGGTGAATTCACCAGGAGGTGCCTGAGAGTAAATTTGCAGATCGTCAGCATACAAGTGGTAGGAAGAAAGAAGTTCATCAGAGATAGAATTTATAAAAATAGCAAAGAGTAGAGGAGAAAGAACGCCCCCCTGCGGTACGCCAGCAGTCGTATCAGACCAGGAGGAGTATGAACCTTCAATGGCAACACGCTGCCGGCGGCCAGACAGGTAACTACGAAAGAAATCAATCACAGCCGGCGATATGTTAAGAGAGCCCAGTATTCCAAGTAAGATATCGAAATCAACGGTGTTGAATGCATTGCTAAAATCTAGCAAGGTAAGCAGAGTTAGATTGCCGTTTTCGATACCCGATCGTATGTCGTCTGTGATGTTGACAAGTGCTGTAGTGGTACTATGCCCCGGACGGAACCCTGATTGGTAAGGATTGAGGAGACTGTGTTTGGTGAGGAAAGCACTTAGCTGGTTATAGATGAGGCGTTCCAGGACTTTAGAGAGGAAGGGTAAAATGGAAATAGGACGGTAATCGGAAAAGGAGTCTGGGTTTGGTTTTTTGGGAAGAGGAGTGATTTGTGCGTCCTTCCATGCAGAAGGAAAAATGCAGCTAGATAAGGAATAGTTAAGGATATGGCAAATGACAGGAAGGATTTCGTCCAGGACAGGGAGTATCATCTTACGGCTAACACAATCACTCCCCACCGCATTGGAACTAATGGAAACTATACTCTTCCTAACATCACAAGCTGTGAGTTGATTAAAGGAAAATTGTGAATAGTTGGGAGAAGGAAGAGAAGAAAGATAGCTTAAAGTTTTAGTTTTGATAAACCCATTAATATTGGGCGAAGAGGAAAAGTGTTTATTAAGAGATTCAAAGTCCAGGTTTCTAGTAATCCCGTCCCGACGCAGTTTCCCAACTCCCATGGATCTTAGGAATGTCCAGATCTTGGCTGCGTCGCCATTCTCTACAGATTGATGAATGTGGCGGCGTTGTGCATCCCTACACATCTTGTTGCTACGATTTCGAGCTGCAACATACTTCTCGCGGTTCACAGGATTAGGTAGGCGTTTAAATTTGGATTTCGCAGCTGCTTTCCTGTGAATTACAACCCTGATCTCTTCTGTCAGCCACGGCGCTGGTACATGTTTTATTTTAACTGGCCGTATCGGGGCATGGATGTCATACAGTTCAATGAGTTTTTTATTAAACATGCTGATTTTGTCATCAGTCCCCACGGCAGCAAAAAGTTCAGACCAGTCAATGCCGCCGGCATCCTCACGAAGCCTCTCAAGATCCATACCACCAAAATTGCGCTGAAAGAATGTTTTGGGTTTAGATTTCGGAGGACAGACTTTGTACGAGAGGAAGATAAGATCATGGTAGGAAAAGTTGTCAGCAGAACATTGTCCGTGCTTGACAACGTGCTGGTCAGACGACACAAGGATAAGGTCAAGAAGAGAAGGTGAACAATTAGGAAAGTGGTGAGTGGCGCTCAGGGGAAGAAGAGATAAGTTTAGGGATTGAGCAATAGATTGAAGTGAAGAGGAGCGTGTGTCGTGTTTTAGGAGACAGGTGTTGAAGTCCCCCATTATTATGGTATGACTGTAAGAGGGAGTTAGGTTCAGCAGTAGATTTTCAAGAGAGGAAAAGTAATCAGTACGTAAGGAAGGACAATAATAGACAC